CAAATCTCCTCTCGAAATGATAAGATAAAGGATAAGATAAATTTAATATTAACAAAAGAAATAACTTGATTAAGTTATGCGATGCTTCGAATGGCGGCTATTAATTACTAATTTATACCTCTATTCTCGAGTGATAAGTGGTATTCAGCCGACTTTTATTTTCCCCCTTCCCTCTTTTCATCCGTCCAATTCCCCTACCCCTTCCTTCATTCTCATTCTATTTTTTCTCTCAAAATTTAAATAAAATATTTTTCATGAAAAAAAACCAACTATTGCCAGAATTATTTAGATCAAATCAGAAATAAATAATAAAACGTCGAAAACATACGAAATGTTGAAAAAGTGAGACAATATGGAGATTTGGTAGACAAATCGGTGCAAATTAGGACAAATGAGACATTAAAAATAATGAAAAATTTGGTGAATTCTAGACGCAGACAATTTGGTGACAACTCGATTTATAAAATAAAAATGTATGTGCAATTATAATACATAGCAGCTGTATTTACACAACAATTTATGCAATAAAATATATTAAATAAAATTTATTTTAAAAAAAGGAAAAAAAATAATTTATTGAAAAATTAATAATAAAAAATATAAGAATATTTCATAGATTTTTCAAAAAAAAAATAATTAAAATATTTAAGTAAATATTCAATTAAAATAAAAAATTGAATTAACAATAATTTTAAATATTTCATAAATTTTTAAAAAAACAAAATCAAAATATTTGAATATTTTAATATATTTAAAATGATATAATATAATTATTTTATTTAAAACATTTAAAATATTTTCATTTTATATTTTATAAATATTTTATAAATTGTAAGAAAAATTATTTAAAAAATTAAAATAATAATATTAGTTTTAAGATTTTTATAAATTTCGAAAAAAAATAATTTAAATATCTTAAAATAAAAAAAATTAAAATATTTACAAAAAAAAACACAAAAAATATTGGTTTATTGGCATTTTTATTGAAAATAGAAATTAATCAACATTCATAATAAATTATAAAAAAAGTTATCAGACAGACGAACGAAAGGATGAAGTTAATTAGCGATAAGCGATAATAATGATAACGCAATAAAAGATAAGAGGGAACAAAGTAATGATGAAGGAATTTCGTCAGTTGTCATTAATCTCACGAGAACTAATTAAATTTCGCATTGCTATATGGCTTCGTAACTGTCTTCGATTTTTCTTTTTTTTCTAAAAATATTAACTGACAAAGTAATAAATTATGAAAGTAAGTAAGTATTAAAGTAAGTATTTAGAAATATTTATTACTCTGGAATAGCTCATTCAATGCAATTTCATTCGTTTCCAGTTTCTAAAAAAAATCGCAATTTATGCGATTAGTAGATTATTCATGGAATTATTTTGCAAATTCTATCCAAATCCAAAAGACTGTTTCAGACTGTTGGTACTTTGGTACTTCACATTCGAAAGAAATTTGCTAGTACCATTCGATACTGCATAATACTGCTAGTATATGACATTGCTAGTATATATAATACATATATGTATTATACATAGAAAGCGAAATTCATAAGTTATTAGCAATGTTACCAGTGATTTTGCTAATATTCTAGTTTTTTTTTCATAATTCACAATTTCTCACCATTAGGTTCACTTTACTGGCTTATTAGAATAGAGAAATTTTGGCAAAGAGTTACTAGGCGATAGAAGTACACGCGATTGCCAGCGCTAACAGTAGAAGACCAGCGTTTGGTGAAGTGCGAGAGTGGAATTCAAGTATAAGCACAAATATTACCAATAATTTATTTTTTCGTATTCTTCAACTTATTTTTTATTTATATGAAATTTTTTTCTTGTATTTTATATTCCCTATTTTTTTAAATGCGCTCTTTGGTACTTACAAAAAACCAACTAAACAGTTTCATAAATTGTTTGGCAGATCGTTTAGCGGGTCATTCGGTCGGTTAGTCGGTCGCCTTCACCATAATTAATTTTTGCAAAGCCAATAATGCTGCTATATTAATATTAAAAATATTAAATATTTAATATTTAATATTAATATTAAATATTAAAAAAATGAAATATTTATAAAAATAAATAATAAAAAATAAAAAAACGTTCCACATTTATATTAAATGAATAAAATTTAGTACAGAAAAAATAAAATAAATAAAATTTTATATTTGAAAAAATAATTTGAATAATTAAAAGAATTAAAAAGAAATAATTTTACTTATAAAATACAAGAAAAAATGGATATTTTAAATTTTTGTATATTTTATTAATTTTAATTTTGTTTCGCAAAACTCATCATTTCTGGTTAGGTTTGCACCATAGTAGCATACAGGAGGAGAATTTTCTCGGAGGATCATTTGGCAATAGAAGTACCAGTGGGACGAACGCAAAAAAAACGTAAACATATCCATCCGATTCAAGTATATTCTTCGAATTAAAATATAGTATTTTCAGCAAATTTATTCACGAATTTCGTATTTTCCTTTATAGCCTAACACCCATCCCCCTCCCCCGAATTTGCAGAATTTTCCTATCTTGATAGGCTAGTTTCTCCCTCTCTCTTTCTCCTTTCGGCCCTCGTCGGTGACTCTTTTTCATTGAGCATGGATGATTTGCAAACTTTTTTTGATTATCAATGATAACTAATAATTTGCTTCTTCTATTATCACCATATGTGATTTGGCTAGTTGCACTGAAATATCAGAGAGTTAAATATAGAAGCGAGTCTCGCTCTCGCACAACTCGCAATATTAATTTTCTTAAAGTATAATCCGAAGGAGTAAATAAATTTTTCGAAAAAGGAATTAAAATTATTTTAAAAATATTCGATTATTTAAACAAATTTAATCGTCGCTATAGCATTTAATCTAACCAGTAATGCTTTAAGTTGTTAGAAAAACGAACAAGAAAAATCATCGTTAACAATTTTTTTGAAATATGAAACATTACCATTATCATTGCCCTTATCATTATCAGAATTTTTCATCTTTTCATTTTAAAATTTACATTTTGCCGATTTCATGAATTAATTATATGCACTAACCACATTAATCAGTGGTAATCAATGATAATTCGATATTCATTCATGTGGAGCAATAAAAATAGGCAAACGAAAAAAAAAAACCAAAAATGATAATAAAGTTTTCATATCGACAAAAATTTCGAACTTTTTTAAATTTTTTGATTTTTTTTTACGGAGATAAAAAATTTCGCAAAAGGGATCAACTTTATCCAATAATTTTAATAGGAAATCTGCTAAAATCCGATAATTTTTTACATTTTTAAATCGTTTATTGTTTCGAACTTTTTTCTTTTCTATACTAATTATTTTTTTTTAAAAAAAATCATTAATAAATTTTTACAAATTGCAAAAATTATAAAATATACTAATTGTCAACTAAATTTTTTTTTTTTTTTCTGTCACAAACAAGTGATTAAATAATATTTCGCGAATCGGTTCGCTCGTTCATCAAGCATTTCTCTCTCTTTCTTCTCAAAATCATTGCATTTTAAAATATTTTTATTGAAAAATTATTGAAAGAAAGAAAGAAAAGAATTAATCATTTTATTTTTGAACTAATTCGAAAATATACTGGAACAGTGAAAAATTCAAATCGAATCAAAAAGGAATCGAAAACAATAGAGGGGAGAGGATGGCGGGGAGATGGGAAGGAACGGAGAAGGACGAGGGAAAAAACAATACCTGATTTTTGCAAAAATATACCAGTCAATTATTGAGCTAATAATTGCTAAAATTTACGACAAGAAAGAATGAACAAAAAATGAATAAAAATGATGAAAATGATATCATCGTTTTATGACCGAAACGTCAATTAGTATCACATTATTTCGCCTATAATGCCACTCTTTAATAAAAGATTTTTTCCATATTGTTTAGAAAAAAGAAAAAAATTCGGAGAATTTTGAAAATCCTCTAAAAATTGCAACTAAAAGCTGAGAAATTAATTACAAAATTAAATTTCATAAAATCAGTAAAAACTATAAAAATTAAACTATGATGAATATGAATTCATCAATAATTCTACCAATAAAATAAATAAATAACAAATAAATAAATAAACTATAAATCAAATAAATGCTTTAAAAATGTTTTTAAAAAAAGTCTAAAAATAAAATGAATTAAATGAAATGAAAATAAATAAAATTAAATTAAATAAAATGAATTTTAAGAAAAAAATATAAAAATAATGAAAATTAATATTTCTCATAAAAATATGGATAAACGACAAAGACAAAAAAAAAAACTTGAAAAATTTCGAAAATATCAACAAATAAATATCAAAAAAAGGCGAATAATTTAGATATGATATTGAAAAACCAAATAAAATTATATACAACAATAATAACAATAATTTGGCACCGAATATTACTCAATTATCACCATACGAATACACTGTCTGCACCTAGAAAAATTAACAAAAAAAGGAAAAACAAAAAAAAACCAAAATTTAAAAATATGATGTATGTATGAATCAATGCGCTAATTCGATATTTGTCTCGTTTTCTTTTTGGAGAAAAGTTATAAATCAAGCGAATTTTCTGAAAAGAAAACCATGAAAATAGAGGAAAACTTGCAATTAGACAGAACAAAAGCAAAAAAAAAAAACAAAGAAATGGTCTTATTTTTCGTAAAAAAAACGATCAGTAAAATGGCAATAGAAATAATTCATTTAGAATGAGAATGACTAGCGGGAAAAAAAAATATTGTATAAAAAGTTCTTTTGAAGGTAAAAAATTGATAAGTGTTAAAAAAGAATATTTTTATCATATCAAATTTTTAAGATATCACGATCTTTTGTAAAATGCAATTAAATATAATATAATACAAATACATAAAATATAAAATAAATAAATAAAAAATAAAATGAGCATTTAGAATCTTTCATTGACAAATAAATTTAATTAATTTTTTAATGAATTAATTTAAATAAATTTCTTAAAAATAAATGAAATTAATTTAGAATTTTTATGCTAATTTAACGATTCGTTAATAGCATTGATGAAGTGTGAGTTTGAGTCGATATTGAGCATTTTGATTTCGAATTTCTATGCGTCCATGAAGTCATTTGTATAACAACGTCAAATAGTCGTCTTCTTGCTTCTCTAAAAAAAAGGAAAATTAAATCATTACTAGTAAATAGAAGTAATAATTTATTGTATTCCAATAGAATTTGAAAAGAAGCTAAAATTATTATAAATTTTCAAGAAAACAAAGAAGTCATTAATCTTTTTCTTTTCAAAAACAAACAATAGTAATTTTTATTCCAATAAAAACCATAAATCTTTATAAAGTGGGTGAAAGAGGGTGGTTGCTAGCGATCCACATTCACATTTATCCTTCCACTGAATCAAACTGAAGAAAGATTTTTCCACTTGATCACTTAAATTTGCCAAAAGAGAAAAAGGAAAATTTATAAAAGAACTTGATCAAAATTTCCACTTAGGTGAAAATTAAAAATTCCCCAATAATAAACGAAAAATGAAACAAAAAAAGCTGAAAATTGCTATCCTAATCCATCGTTTATGAATCTATTTGTCAGATATTTCAAAACTGATTCAGACAGAAATGAAAGATAGAAAGATAGAAATGTGAATTTAGAATCAGGAGAAATTTCTGATTTGCTTCCATCCATAATATTAATCAAACTTTTCCAAATAGCTTATTAAATTCAAAAAAGCATTAAGAAAAAAAATTTCACACAAATAATTCTGCTTTACATTTCTTAAGTTTGATAATAAATAAAAAACTGAAAAAAAACCCTCTCTTAAGTAATCAAAAATCAATTTGTCTGGAAGAATGTAAATAATTAAAGGGAATATTGTGGGTTGGTAATGTATTAGCTGAAAAATTACTTTGCCATGCAACTGTTGCACGTCAAACAATCTCTTATTGCCATGAAAATTTCATCCGTTAATTCAGGCCACTGCATCCACAATCGGCGTTGCGTTGCTTGACAAATTTCTGCCAAGCCAGTCGCACATTTCGATACCATTTCAGAATCGTCTTCCACCTTGAAGAAATTATTAAAAATTTATAATATTAAATTTCATTAATTTAAATGGAATAGGCAAAAAGAATAACAAACAAAAATTTAAATTTAGAACTTACGAATACCTCATCAGTAATTACTTCAAGCCATCCTTTTATAGCAGATATAATTTCATATAATAATTCATTTGATTCTTTATTCGATCTAGAATGAGCCCTGGGCCATGCTGCGACTAGCAAAGAACCAATATAAGTTGGAAGAGATTCGCTGACAATTTGAGAACAAAGAATGTACGATGATAATGCAGAATTAAGTTTTTCACCAAAAGAAGATTGAAAATCCTTATTTCCTGCAAAAATTCCACCACTTATATTTTCTTTTCACTGATATATTCTATTTATTACAGTAAAAAGAAAAATTTTAATTTAGAAATTTAAATTATAAACGTAAAAAAAATTTTTTCAATGAAAACCTATAATAATACCAAATGTTTTACAATTTTGCAGTAAGTAATCTCTCTAAAACTCTAAACTTATGGTGAAATGAAAAGTAGTATTTTGGGATTCCTTAGCCCGAAAGTCAACTCCTCTCTAAGAATGGAGAGAAATAAACACTGCATATAAATAATATTAAGGAAATACGAAAAAAAAAATTCAGGAAAGAAACGACTCAAACTTTGATAAATTTTAGAGAGAATTAAAAAATTTAGGCAAAAGCAAATTTATAAGTTTGCATGGAATGGCTATGAAATACAGTTGAAAAAATGAAATAAAATTCAAGTTTTTAGTTCTAACTTTTTGTTATTCTATTTTCGTAAAGAAAAACGAAAATGAACAAACCAATCATCGTAACAACGATATCAACCGAAAAACTAAAATCTTCACTATTAAAGGTCGAATCAAAAAGTAATTTCGAAAAGCGATTCCACTCATCTTTAGTGAATCTATTCAAACTGTTTTGTGATAATAATTCACCTGAAAATTTTGAAAAAAATTATGAGATTTTAAAAATTTTCATTAAAAATTATCAATTCAATAAGGAAAAAATGAGAAAAAAATTGCTTTTTTTTCATTTTTCTATTTTCCTAAAAATTTTTAAAAACAACTAATTTTTATGATTACTTATATTTAATTATATTTAATTGTGTATTTAATTATAATTATATATTAGTTAAATTATGTTAGATAGTTAAATTATACTTTATGATAGTTAATTATGATAGTTAAATTATACTTAAATTAAATTCTATAAAAAATAAAAAATTTAAAAAGAAACAAATTTAAACAATTTTAAAGAAAAAAATTTAAGAGAAATATATTTGATTTTTCAATGTTTATATAAATATAACAAGCAGGAATATTTTAATTAATCAAACATTGGTGATTGCTATCAATATCGATAATAAACACAGTGAATTATCGATACCATATGTTAGATGCACAACGGTGTATTTCTTTCTCTTCTAACAGCAAACACTATATCTAGTTTGACTTGAGTGATTACTGATGTGAGACCATTTTATAAGAACGTTCAGTTACACTATAATATGTGGATCGTACAGCTACAACCTCAGATTTCGTGTTTAATAACAGGTTTACTCTCATCAAGAAATAGCCAACCATGCTGCTTTGCCCCTCTACTTAAGCAAGAGACGATTCGGCCACACTGCTACTCCAATAAAAATACGTAGAACTAAAACTAAAACAACTAAAATTTATCCAAATAAAAAAAAATACCTCAGCTAAAATGATATTATAAATGATATATGACATAGAAAACCAGAAATACGACCGAAAAAAAAGGATTATTTCTCTTAAAACTAAACGATTATATTTGCTATTAATTAACATAATCCAATAAAATATATTTAAAAAATAAATAAACAAATAAAAAAGATAGAAAAAAGATCAAAAGACAAAAAAAAATAAAGGAAAAAATTATATTTATTATTTATAATTATTTTAATATTTAAATTATATTATATTTTAAAAAATCCATCTTCGAAATATAAAATAAAAAACAAAGATCGAAAAAAAACTTATTTAGTAATTAAAATAATTAATAAATTAGATCAATAAATCAAATTAATCAAAATCAAATTTTATTAATTATATCATTTTTTCCCTTATAAATTATTATATTTATTTATATTATACAATATATTTATATTTTATTAATTTTTTAAACCAAAAACTTTTTATCAATAATTTTTATTTCATTAATTCTCAATTTAAATAATTTTATTTAAATAAATAATTTAAATAATTTTGGTTTTTCTCAAAAAGAAAATATTATAATTTTTTGAAAAATTTTTTGAAAAATTTTTAATAAAATAATTAAAAATTAAAAGAAAAAATTTTACGAATATCTTGTGCGGAATAACGTCGATCAATATTTAATGTTGATAATTCTTTTATTAAATCGCAAATATCATCGAATTCGAGTCGTTGAATTTTCCTTTTATCACTTTCGTCGCTTTTATCATTTTTATCATTTTTAATTTTTTGTTGTGGAAAAACAACAATATTTTGACGTCCATCATTTAATGTTTTCTGAATTGAATTAACAATACGACGATTACGATTCAATTCATCGACACTTAATTGCTCGCTTGAAATTTTCTTAGACGATTTTATTCGCGAATTACACCGCACCGAACCGCTCATAACAAATATTAAACACAATGAAATTTTAAGAAAACAATATAAAACATTGGTTATCGTAATCGTGTATTCGTTCTAAGACCTGCAAAATTCTTTTATTGAACTTATTTTTCTTGTTTACGATGCATCATGTGCATCTATAAATAAATAAAACATATAGGAAAACAAAAATAATATTATAAAATTAATAATAATAAAAATATAATATTAATAATTTAATAAAAATTTAGAAATAATTTTTCATTTTATCATTAATTTTCAATTTTATCAATTTTTTATTAATTAAATTTACTTTCTTTTATTTTTTATTCATTTATTTTTTTATTCTTATTTTTTTCAAAAAAAAGAATTATTTTTTTTTTATTAGAATTATTTATTTATTTATTAAAAAGAATTATTTATTTTTTTATACTCTAAAAATTATGAAAATTGTATGAAAAAACATTACATTAATATGAGAAATAATTTAGCAATAAAACCACTGGTGCAAGTGCTTGCAACTGTCCGTTAGCATTGCATTAAGGACCACGAATACTGTAATTTATACCAGTCTTGCACTATAATGTGCAATCTACTGAGGCATTCGACGAAGATCCATAAAATCCAACCTCCAATAGTAATGTTTTTTTCGCTTTATAACGCTGGTACTTAGGCGATAAAGTAGGTAGTAGCACATTTGTAAGTTGGTAGCCAATGGTTTTGCGCCAAGAATTCTTGGTGGTGCCAAAATTATATTTCTTCCGAAATTTTTTAGCATAATTCAATAAGATGAATTTTATTTAGTTTTTTTTTATCCATTCTCAAGCCAGAAGGACTAATTGCTTTAATAAAGTCGAGCCTGGCCAAGTACTGATTATTTAATAGGGTACATATATTATGCTAAATTATACCTGCCTATTTATGAAATGAGAACGGTCACTGTGGTACCTTGGAAATAATAAGTTATATGCCAGTGCTTGAAAGGAATTATGGAGCAAAAAATACCGTAAAATTTATTTGATCATCAGCATAATATTAAAAAGAAAGTCGAATATTTTGCAAATATTCACTGATGATTGAAGGACAAAGGAAGGCTTCTCTAAAAACCGCTGGCCTTACAGGCCTATGCGGCCTTAATGTAGCCAATTCGCAAAGTACAATTCTCTTCTTAAATTTATTTGTTGGTCGAAAAAAATTTTAAATATTGTATCTATATATATTTATATTTATATTTATTAATATATATTTAATATATTAATATGTATTTATATTTAATATATTAATATAATATATTAACATATATATTTATAATATATTAATATATTTATATTTATATGTTTGCAGATTTTAAGCTAAATCTTTTATTTTTATTTTTATTATTTATTTTTTTAAAGATTTTCAAATTTTTTTATGAAACTTTTTTATGAAACTTTACTGCTATGTAAACTCATTCCATTAGCTATTAAAATGAGATCTTTTGATCATTTAGGTCACTTGCGAATGGAAATATAGATTCAATTTAGGTAGATTTAACAGAAGTGGCAGAGGTTATAAAATACTCCATAAATTGTTCTCAGCAATGTGCCATCCGGCCATACGCTCCCCCTTTAATTTCTCTCTACGCTTCCCCCCTCCCCCCACCTCCCTCCCCACTGATTCCTATAAATTAACATCTGTTTTTCTCTGTAAAAATTATAAAACTGGCAGTTACAAAAAATATCTATAAAACTAAAAATGAAATATTTAAGAAAGCCTTTCCAAATTGGAATGAAGAAATACCCAAAAAAATTTTTTTATTTTATATTTTATTTATATTTTCCAAAAATATTTTATATTTAAATATTGATAAAACCAATATATACCAGTAAGTAGAATAAAATAATAATAAAAATAACAAAATGAGAAGGCAAAAAAAAAAACAAAAAATGATGAAAATAATGAAGAAGCAAAAGCAACAATGCAGTAATTTTAGGTGTTTTTGTTTCACCTTCGGATGGTTCGGAATGCTTGTTTCCATGAAATCTTCCATAAGAATGATATTAAATCGATATATTGGACATTCTAACCAAGGATTCAGTTGCCGTTTCTAACCAAGGATTTATGTATTCAATATGAAAACTGTGATCACATTTCAGTTTTTTTATAAGATTTCTTATACTGAATGGTTTAAGACAAATCTAAAAATAAAAAAAAATTATTTCAGGATTGTTCCATGATTTTCGCATTAATTCACAAAATATTCCAAGATATTGATAGCAATTTTCTTTTTTTTTTAAATCACCATTACTGGTTAGGCTCGCTCCACTGGCTTGTCGCATTGGACAAGGAGCCAAGGAGCTCCTTGGCGATAGAGATTGATAGCAATTAAAATAGTTTAATTAAATAATGCTTAACATCGACTGATTAGGCTCATTCAACTGATAATTTGGGTTTGACACTTTCTTCCGAGATGGTAGAATTATAGATGGTATCATTTTTTATATTTATTCCAGAATAGTTACTAAGGGAGTAGATACCTTCTATTATCTATTATGTGTTTCTCGGTCAAAATGGCTTCACCTTAATTGCCAGAATGGTGAACCAAAAATAGCGAATGGTCTGTTACCAGAAGCGAATATTCTTAAAATAAGCCATAAAGAAATAAATCATATAAAAAATTAATTTAAAAAAATTTACTCGGCAATTATTGTTGCTCTGTCCTAGATGGAAAACTTTAACATTTTCTTTTTTCTCAGTGTTATCGATATCTTTCATGAAGAATAACGAAATATAACGTTCAATTAGCAAATATAATGATAATATGATAATGATAATTTGCGTGAAAGTTCTGTCTGTAAAAATGAAATTTGAATAGTGGGATTTGAATGGTGCACTTAGTGCGTATTAACAAAGCTATTATAATGCCGCTGTTTTAAACCGTTTTCGATATAGGTACCATTGAAGGCTCCTATGGAGATAAAAAGCTAATTTGATGGAATGCACAATGAGAATTCTCAAAAGAGAATACCACTTGATGCTAATTCTACTCTGATAAAATCAGTATTGATAATAGTATTTGTGGCCAAAACGAAAAGTTACAAAAATTTTGAAAAAATCTTCAAAAATAATTGGTCCAAATTATTAAACTGCCATATTTGATGAACATCAACGGAGCATTTGATTGTGCTATCTGGTGGACCTTTTCGCTGACCGTGTTTCAACCTTTCCAAATGCTCGACTTTTTCTTTCCTTGGCCTCATTTCTTCGTCAATTTCCAAACTTAATACTGTGTCAAATTTTCTTATTGTTACTTCTCATTAAAATCAGATCGCGGAGAAGAGCTTCGAAATCTTTTTATGCTAAGTCCTTACACCACTTTAAAGTGCCATAGTGATCTTAGCATATCATAGATCTACTTATATTTTTTTAATCACAGTTATGCAGGCTAAGAAATCTCTGCTTATTACTTTGGAACCTTTCGATAGAGCTCCAGAATCTTTCTTGTCATTTGAAAAATTTTACAAAAAAACCCCTTCAAATATCTTAAAACAAAAAATAAGCGACCTCGTACTCTATGGACTTATTCATTATCATTATCATTTATCCTTGACGTATTCATTATCATTTATTCATTATCATTATCATTTAAAATCCTTTTCTACTCTATGATTCCACTAACTTCTGATTTGTTGCATTAATCTTCAAGGTTCTTCAAGATTCTCGATGCAGTTTTAATATAACTACAATTGTACCTTAAATTATAAATTTATAAGAGATGCAAAGGTAGAACCCTGGCTAAAAGAGAACGATCGACTACAGCGGTGACAGCTTGAAGGTGAATAATAAAACAAACAGCTCAGATTTTGAAGGGGGTGTTGCGGGACCTAAGGAGAATGCAAAGAATTTTCTACCTATTCAACATATAGATACTATATTTTTGATATTTTATAATTTTTTATGAGTATCAATTGGATACCAAATTAAATAATTGAACCAGCCTATAGTTAACTAATAAATGATTGAAATGAAGGACTGGGTAATTTTTAGGACCAAAACTCCTTTTTCTTTCCTTTCCTTTTCTTTTTTAACACCTTACCTTTCACCTTCAAATACCTAATTATAATCAAATACTCTCTGGCACTCTAATGATTTGCTTTCATCACTTTCCTCTACCACTTTTCAGGTACCACAAGAACCAGAAACCCGATTTTTATTGAACTCCTGTAAATTATAAACTGCATTAACACTGAGCTAGTTGGATGAATGAATGATTTTCATGCATGATGATAGCATAGCCAAAGAATGCATCTAATAAATCTTCATGTTCCAGATATGTTTCCGAATCCTCCAAGTATATGATTGAAATATTCTTAGAATGACTCCAAATTCCCCAACGTCACCAACCTCTCTCCTGTCATCTGATTCTATATACATCCAACGCCACTTATAGCAGGACCTTCTGACCTTTAGGACATGACCGCCCATTATCACCTTATCATGAACCAATGTTTGGCCTTTATAAGAGGAAAGATAAATATTTAGCCATTTTCTCTAACATTCATTCCTCTCTAAAATATTGTCTTCATTCACTCTTCCTAGTCTGCATGCTCATAAAAATAGTGATCTCTAATCTCTAATTACACTAATTATCTTCAATCCCCATAGAATTTTTGATCTCCATTTGGTCTCTCTGACTCACATAAAAATCTCTGTCTCTAACTTACTCTAATCGTCTTCTGTCTCCCGCATAAATTTTCATCTCTAATATTTCTAATATTTCACTAAGTTCTTTACTTCTCATATATTTTCAATAATACCCATTTATCTGCATTTTAAACTTTTCTAATTATCGGCTTCAGATGCCACCAGTTTGTCTGCTTTTCCTTCATTAATTTAAAATTGTGAATGAATATTTGTCGTGAAAAGCGCAGGAGGGTTTTTTTTCAGCGATCACTCAGATCATTTTTATTTTTTATATTTAATCGCTTTTTTTAAAATTTATTTATTCGACGAATTAGAAATTTCATGAAACGAAGTTATTTATTTCGTAAACCAATCGATGTGAACAACGACGACGATGAGTTTTTGAATATTCGCGAATCGAATCGAAAAATTATTCACGCCAAACCTATAAAAGAAAAATATGTTAAAAAATTAGGCAGTCTTGGTGTTGGAAAGGATTTCGTAATTGGCAGTCGAAATTCACAAAAAGATTTTCAAGGTTAACGAATTTTTACAATTTTTTTAAATTTAAATTTATTACTTGATAAATCCATCACAGAGCGTCGCCTTCGCTCGTTAAGGATTCGTCGTCGCCCACCACAAGAGTTGACGCATATTTCGTTACTTGCTAAACTCTGTGATGGGTGGCGTCAAACGCGAGATGGACCAATCAAGACCAGGAAACGTATGACAGGAGAAATCTTTTCTGATACAATCAGAAAAGATTTTGAACGTATAGGTAGACCAGTAATATATGGACTTAGACGATGGAAAAAGGAATGGCTTTTTTTAATGGCTTTGACGGTGGCATCAGATTACGAAGTTGTTTTACCTTTATAGCCGATGGAACCAGCCTAACGAGTAATGATGAGAACTGTTAGAAGAAGAAGAATATATTCCGCATTATGATATTCTTTTTTTTCTTCATATATTTTATATTTTTCTTTTATAAGAGTGCTCTTCATTTCTGTTTTAGCTGGTACCAACTATTTATTAGGATAAGGTATTTTGCGCCATAAAGTCACAAACTTATGAAGTTTCATTAGAAATCTCGACATGACATCTTCACTCGAAGCAAATTGAGTTTGACCAGCTTTGCCATATGTTACTTGTCTTCGATATAATAAATGAAAATTTATGATATATTGATAATTAAATGAAAGTTTATGATATATTGATAATAATATTCGAGATAGATTATTTTTGATTTTCTTAGGTATTTTAAGGAAGTGGAATTCAACTTATTGAAGAAAAATCTGAAGAATGTCGAAGTTTGTCTTTTGATGAGCGCAATAAATTAAGTGCAAAGATATTGAAAGCTGAACTCAAAGGCGACCTAGTACATTTTTGTTGTATTATATTCTATTTATCCACAAAATTTCTATATATTTAAGAAATTTTTTCCCTTCAAGAAAATTTTAACTTGCTTAAAGTTGAATTTAACGGTTTTAAGAGCGAATAATAACTTTTTAATTGAAGGACATTTTATTTTCCAGGATTTAGTAAAGAAGCTTAAAGCAAAATTAGAAGGGAGTTCTGCTGAAAATCTTTTACAGTCAGAAAAATCAGAAATTTTACTGCGGACTAATGAGAAAAGTGGCCTTACTATGCCAGTTTTTAAGAAGGCAAAGTGTGATGACACTGATCATTCATCCGAAAAGGTTCGGATTTTTTTTCTTGTATATCGTTTGCAGCATTTAATCCTATTTCATTTATATGAAAAATAATGGGTTTAGCGATGTTTTAGACGAAATATAAGCTTGGGGATGTTGAGGCGAAATATCATTCACAAATGGAACTTAATGAAATGAGGAAAGAAGAAAAATATACAAATGCTTCAGATCAGTTGTATCTTTTTAGTCAATCTGCTAAGGTTTGTGCTTTTGCCACATTTTTTTGAACTTCTATATTTTCAAGCAAAGTTTTGAATGAAACCTTTTAATTTCCGTTTTATGAAGGTTTGCTTTAAACTGTTTTATAAGCTAAAATTTTTTTTCTGTAATATTTAATTGACTGTAATTGTAGGACCGTTTTGTTCTTTCATTATTGTCATTATTTTTTAATTTTTTCTCAAGTTTATTACAATATAAAAACAAATTTAGATTTTTTGCTATTTTTTTCCAGTATTTTCTCCTATTTATTTTATTTTTTATTTGAAATAGAATTAATTTGATAAAATGAAGGTCGTTGATACTTTAATCCCGAGTATTTTTTGTTCAAATTTTTAAATATAGTGTTTTTCAGTTATTTTAAATTTTTAGATCGTTTAAGTGGTTTTACCTTAACAGTCGATTTTTTTTCCAGGCTGCGTGTAGTAGTCGAACTGAGGATGATTGGGTTATTGATGACGCTATGATGAGTCAAAAAAAGAAGAGGAAATTTGCAGAAAAAGAACAAAAACGTGAACATGAGAAGGCAATTAGAGGTTTTTTCGTTTATTTTATTTTGTTGTTTTTATTCTTTATTTTGCTTTCTTGTTTTGGTAATTTTTCTTAATTTTACAATTTTGCTTTCTTCTTTCATCTTTTTTTTTTTGAAAAATGTTTCTTTTAATATTTTTTTTTCATTTCATTTGCGTTCCCTCCAAGGCCTAAGTTATTTGTAGGATAGATGGTGGGTGATTATCAGAAATTATAAATTTTTTATAAATTTTTTAGTTAGAATTTTTTTCCATTGTATATTTTTATTCAGCCATTCTTTTGCTTTTTGTGCGTAGATTTCGCTTTTTTTAAGAGAGAGTGGTACAGGTTCATTTAGATTTTCCAAGCTCTTGCAATTGCCTCTTTTTGTCTATTTTTAAAGGGTCGAGATGTTGCTTTAAAATGCAAAAGATATTTCAAAAATTGAAAATAAATTACATAGGTCGTCACGGCAAATTATGTGCTGTGTTTCTGGTAATATGATTATGATTTAGTTATTTTCACAAGAGATTATATGATCAAAAATCGAATAAAAAAAAGTGGAAGAAGCTGAAATTCAGTCATTTTTTGATATTTGTTGATTTTTTAAAGTGTTATAGTGATTAAAATATTTTTAAAGGTGTATCATATATTTCATCCTCTACTGTTGTTAGAAGTGAAATCCGAATGTTGCTGAGGATTCATTCATAGTTCTACATCCTCAACTGAATTCTCTGGCAAAACGATCTTATCGTTATCAGTAGTCAGTAGAAATCTATAGAACTAAACATTTCATAAAAAGTGATGTTAAAAGTATTCAATTATTAAAATATAAAGAAAAATGTAGATTCAGTAATAACTTTTCTAAGTGGTCCCAAAAATTTTTCAAAAGACATCAAACAGAAGGGTTTTTTTGTTCATCATTTCAGTTGAACTGGAAAGAAGTATAAGTAATTCATTTGATCCCGAATTTTTCCTATTTTTCAAGGATTATGGAAAAAATATATTTTTTCACAAATTTACAGCTTTTTCTAATGATATTTTAATATTTAAATATTTAAAAATATTTTTTGTCCATCGATCTTGCATATTCGCCCGTTTATAGGATATTTATAGGATATTTATTCTATTGAGTGCCACTTTCATTATAACAATTAAAATGATTAGATTAGTCGGTATTGCTTGGTATTAGCAGTTATCAGCTAGCTGGATAATCATTGCAGTACTGGTAAACAAATAAAATGCATATATTCAAGCCGAAACGTAAAATTTGCATTAACAGTTGGACGATTTTTTCCCAATAGAAATAAATTAGCATTTAAAATGTTTTAAATTTTTTTCAGTTCTAGGTACCAGATTTTTTTTTATCGTTTTTTAATCTTTTTTCTTAACAGTTTTTTTCTTGGTCCGAATGTAATATTGATTTAATTTCTTTATTTTAGAATTAATTATCAAATTAAAAAATTAATATTTTGTCAATTACGAAGTTTTTTCCTTAATTTAATCTAAAGCTTATAAAATATTTACAAATGAAAAAAAAAATTTAGCATGATTAGCATAATTCAGAATGAATAATAAAGTATTAAAAAATATAAAAAATGTTTTAAATTTTTTTCAAGTTCAAATTTATCAGTAAATGATAGGCCTTCTTGGCTTTCATTTATTTAATAAAATTATTATTAAGGCCAAAGTCGGAGCATTAAAAAGTATATTATTGTCGTGAATTATTTTCACACCATGTTTAATGTTGTTGTTGTCTTTCTCGAAGTCTTTGATTGAACTGCCGAACTTTATCTGATAATCGCTTTAATATAGTTGTAAGATCAGATTTTGTTGGTGAAGGTGCGTTGTGTCCTTCTAAAAAAGTATTTTTTAAAAAAATTTAATTTAGTAAAATTTTTTTTAAAAAATTTTTTAAAAAAATTGAAAATCTATCCCTCTATTCTCAGCTGGTTATGTGAATTAATTGCAATTAAATTATAAATAAACTTATTGGATCAGAACAATTTGAACTGAGAAAAATGACTAGGCTAACCGACTAAAAAATGGCCAAAATTCCACATTTTAATTATTTTCTTTTTTCTAAATGAGAATAGTTATTTTATATATGTAATAAAAATATATATAAAAATAATTATTAAAAATAGCTATTGAAGAATAAATCTTTCTATGATTTAATAGGATTTAAGCTATGGCTTTCGATTTTAACTATATGAATATAGGTATGAACTAATTTTGAGTTGCAGTTGCTAAACATGGATTGAACTCGATGAGCCTGTTTAAAAAGAATAAATTATCAATGTTTAGGAAAATTATTTTTTTATTTTAATAAATAATAAAAACCTGTATGCGAGTTAATATTAGATGATTGTTCATTATCGGTTGTAATATTATCATTGTTATTATTATTATCATTATGAACAACATCACCAAGAACAACATCATTGGATTTCTCGCGGCATTTAATATTTTCAAAATAAATTGCTTTCCTAAATCGTCGCATTAATCGTGGATTATCGAGTTGTGTTTGTGAAAGTAACTCGCAAAAACCATTTTCCTAAATATAAATGAATTATTTATAAGAAAATTTATAAATTTGTTATTTATTTATTATTAAACATATGTAATATTTATTTATTGGTTACAATATTCATTATTATTTTATATTATCCATCATATTTGCTACTACTCGGACGATGCTGTCGGCCTGTCTATATTTGGATGGTTCACTGGCAAAAATTACCATGCCGTACGAACATCCAACGAAACCGAACCAAAAATGATGGATGAGAACCAAAAATTATGTTTTATGAATTGATTTGGGCTATCGAAAGATTAACTTTAAAAAAGTGAAAAATGAAAAATAAAAATGAATCCATAGTTCTTCTTTTCGTCTCATCTTTTTTTTTGGCTTTAGCGAGCAATATTATCTCAATCAACAACTGATAACAGACTGATAATAGATAATAGTTTTGAAAAGAAAAAAAGAAGATTTAATAGAGAATATTGAACCTGAAATGTTATTGGTTCAAAGAAATTCACCGCAACACATTTCGTATGAGTAACACATTGTGCAACACATTCGCTGTGCCTACGAACAGCCATCGTTGCAATCATTGGACCAAAATAAACATAATCCGGTATTGCATCACTTTCAATTCCTTCTGGACAATCTTTAATTTTTTTTTAATTATTTTACAAATTATTATTGTATGGGAAAATTAAAGAAAATCGTATTTCAATAATAAATAATAAATTTATTAAGGTGTACGATGATTGATTGTGTTGTATATTGTTGTATCAGTTGAGAGAAAATATTGAAAAAATATTTCATTCCTTGGTTTTTCATTTAGCTCGAGTAAACCTTTCAATAGGAATAAAACCTCGGCTAATCGGCAATTACTCAAGTGAATTAAAGGCGAAAAGTTTTTAAGTTAGTGGATCGAACTTCTAGCTGAAATTCGTCGTAGATTATAATTTACGACAGAAGTCAAGTTGCATCTTCTCGAAAAAATCCCTGTGCCAAGCTATTCACCACCTAATATTTCTTGTTTTTGTGGCAAAATTCGTCCGGTTCAAATGAGCCAATTAAACTGAGCTTAACTGATAATGATAAGAATGATAAGCGCGCGCTATTAGTATATTTTATTTTTATTATTTTGTATTTTTAATTTTTCTTTTAAAGAAATTTTATGGCAATATAATTAGGGAAAATCGATGGAAAAAATATTAAAGAGGAATTTTTTAGAATTTAATGGGTTCTTTTTTTTTCTGTGTACACTAGAAAATTTTATAATAGAAGAAGGTAAAAATAGAAGGATTCACCTGTATCGTCGTAAATAATATCGTAAAAAGCAGGTGAATTGGATGGATTCATATAGGATCTAAGATCCCCAAACCATTCCGTTGTTGTATTCACCGTTTTAATATTAATAAAAATAAAAAGAATAAAAATATAATAAATGAAATTTTGATATGAAGGAAGAAGAAGAAGAAATATTGCAGTTGCCATCAAATAAGTTCCATCAACACATCAAATAATATAATATGTATGCCAACCCAACCCAACAATCAACTATCATCCAAAAACGACGTCCTTTTTCACTTCCTTACGATCGTTTGGTTTATATTTATTTATTTTTCTTGTCTCCACCTTTTTCTTTATTTTTTTTTTCCTTTATTCTTTAAAATTTTTTATCGAAAAATTTAATAAATATTTTTCTTAATATTTTATAATTAATGAAATAAAATTAATTAATTATTAATTAAATTTTTTATTAAATTTTATATTTTTTTCTTTTTTTTTTTACGATTTATTTAATTGTTTAAAATTTAAAAATTTCAATAAAAAATGAATTTTATTAGTTTTTTTTGTGCTTATTTTATCTATTAATTAATTTTGTTAATTATTATCAATTATTTTATCAATTATTAATTAATTATTATAATTAAAATAATAAATTAATCTATCAATTTTTAATAATTTTAGAAGGCAATTAAGAGAGAAATATTTATGGAATTTTTTTTCGAACGAAATTATTTTGTAAGGTTTTTTTTATTATAAATGGTTAGCTATTAACTTATCATCGAAGTCGAAGAATCGAATTCTGGCAATTAACATAAATTACTGTATTAATCCCTTACGTTTAAGCCTTTCTCTATTATTTAATTTTTTAAATAATTTTTTATTATTTATAATTATTTATTATTTATTAATTATTTTATTTTATTATTTTATTTATAATTTTTTGTTTTATTAAGTGATAAAAATTGTCAACTTAAATTTTTTGATAATTCTAAATTTAGACAAATTATAAGTGAAATTAAATCGCCTTAATTTAATTATAATTAATTAATTATAATTATAATTAAAATAAATTTCGGTTGAACAGTAATTCGATCAGATTTTGAATTAATTATAAAAATAGAAATTTTCCAGTTTTTTAAAATTCTTACAATCGATTGCATTTTAAAATTAAATAAGGTCATGAAGGTCAGATCAGATTTTTTAAAGGTCGAATCGGATCCGATTTTTAATATTTGATTTTTTTTTTAACGAAAAAATTGAAATATTTTAATTTTTTCGTTTAATTGATATACATAAGGCGATTAATATTTTATTGGAACGTTCAAAAGTTACTTTTCGGTTAAATGGACAACGAGAAATTATGCCATTTATTTTCTCTTCGCTTGAATTTTTTCCTTAGAAATTTTTCATTTTTCATTATTAATTAATTTTTCTTCCTCATATTTGTTTGATTATCGTTTCTTACCCAATTCACCAATCATATTTATTTTCTCACCATTAAATGAGAATCGTTGCTTTTCTACATAATCGAAAAAAAAAATTTACCCAATTTTCTAACAATGATCCAATTGTTTTTTTTTGTAAATTTCTCTTTTCCTTTAAGAAGTTTTAACGTTAAAAATGATTTATTAATTTTTTCTCATCGCATCAAATGTGTACCATAGAAGAAGGAAGAAAAAGAAAAGGAAAAAAAAACGAGAACAAGAAAGCGAAGAACCATAATGGATTTTTCGTTTACGTATAATAAGAATGCTATAGAAATAAGTTTTGGTAATCAAGTTGTCGCCGTTCAAGTAGCCGAAAATAAGAAAAATTATTATTTTTGCATGTATTAGTGCAGTGAAAACCAGATTCACCTCGAATGATACAATCAGCGAAAAACCTGAAATTTATTATGTATTTTAATGTTTTATGTACATACCATACCCAATACCAATAATACATATATATATATACTATTTTCGATTTGTTATCAATTTAATTAATAATATCAAAATAATAACTGAAGTGAAGAGAGAGACATCGAAAATAATAATATAATTTTTTAAATATTAAGTATAATAAATATTATCGGAAAATAAATACGAGTTTTTAAATAAATAAGCCATAATTTAATAATAAATTTAATATATATATGTAAAATAAATTTTTGAGAGAATTATTTTTTATTATTTTTATTATTATTATTGAGAGAACATTTATTTACATATTCATTTTTAATATTTAATATTAATTTTAATAATGTTAATAATTATAATTTATAATTAATTAATTAATTATTATTTAAATCGCTTAATTAATTAATTATAATTGATTTTAATTAATTCAATCATATTATTATTAAATTTTTTATTTTTTTTACTTTTATTCTTAATAATATTGTTTTTATTTTTAAAACTTATGATTTTTATTTACTTATTTATTTATTTATTTTATACACTATTTAAAAAATGTTCCTCAAGTAAAGATTTTTAAAAAAGATTCTTTCTTCTTCTTTCTTTTAGTTGATTTATGCAAATTTCGCTGATTTGTCGCCGAAAAACGGATACAAAAAGATATTTTTTTGCTAGTTGGCCTACTTCGATTGTTATTGGGTTTTTGCCGAGGCAAAACTTTCTATATTTCATCAAAAATAAAGACAGAAGCCTTCTGCCTTATTCCATTCGCTCTTTTCCAGCTTTCCCTTTACTTTTTTTTTATTGGTACAATTTTATTATGTTTGAATCCCGCTATATTTCTTATCGCTTATGACTAAGCCACTATCTAACTGATCACTGATAATTGTTGACTATTGATAAGATAAATAATTAATTGAGCGAATCCTGTTTCAGATTTATGGCGCCATAGTAATTTTTTGCTTTCGCCATTTTAACGAAGCAATTTATAGAAAAAAGTTTTATTTAATTTTCTGTTAAAAAATAGCATTAAAAATTGAGTAATACAAGGGAATGAATGATTAACAATCATAAATAAATTCGTTGCGGGATTCAATTCTTTCCGAGGTTAGAAAAACCTAGGCACAAAATATGAAAGTACCACTCGATGAAATGCACGACGAGGATTTCTCGATGATTCATTGATTATCATTCACCGCAATTCAGATTTCTAAAAATGAGCGAGAAAAAATATTTAAAAAAACCGTCGAAATTGTCAAATTGTATGTATTATAGATGTTTTCATTTACGATTTCCCTAATTAATAAATATTAATTTTTTAGTTTTCTTTTTTTTTCACCTATTAATTATTATTGTTATTTCGCAAATTTCAAAATTTATTGAAATAATTTTATTTTACAAAAATAAAATTCTTTTCATATTTCTACATTTCTGTTTAAACGAAGAAATCGTTTCATCATATTTTTTCTTTTTATATATATTTTTTTTCGAAATTTTTTGAAATTACAGTGGAACTATGTTTAAATATGTTTATTTTATCTCTTTTTTACTTAAGCCATTTCTGGTTTGATTGGTTCCACCAGTTAATTGAAATGAGAACGTTTCGCTAGCGAATCACTCAGTGAGCAAGGGGTGGGGGGGGGGGGGGGTTAGCTTTGCAAAATTATAAGTAAGATTATAAGCAAAATTATAAAATTGGATTTTAGTTTAAGGAAGAATTTATTCTTATCAGTGGTCAGAAAGCTGAAAGCGTATTGCTTGATTTTAGTGAAAACAATATACCACTGATGATTAGTGATAAGATGATAAGAGTGACAAGATGCTGATTATTATTATTAAAGTATATTTATATTTTAGAGGAATTCAAGTAATTTACATTTCGTGCTAATCGATAGTAACCCACCTGTATCTCCATTCTCAAGTGGTGGCTGTTTTGGTAAAAGTTTTTTCTCCTAGTATTTCCGCATCAAACCAGTAATATTTGACAAAGGCGAAGGAGGATTTTTCCCTAATTATCGAGGATAACCATTTCTTTCTTGATTAGTTGAATGTATATATTGAAAAAAGGATATAAATTAAAATTTCACCTTCACTTTTTGAATAATTATAAATCGTAAATAGAGGACATCGAATTTTTTAATGGTAATTTCTATTTTTTGACATTTTTGCATGAATTAAATTCTTTGAATATTTTGTTCGTAATTTTAAAGAAATAAATTAAGAAATTTTAGACCTTAACGAGCGATAATTGCCGATAATTTAATTGTTGAAGATTTGTTGAAAAATTAAAATTCTTTTAGAAATTTTAAGAAAAAATTCCACAATTAATTGAAATTTCATAAAGAATTTTCATGTTTATTTAGTTTTTCAATAAAATATTTTAATATTACTAAAAATTATTTTAACAATTTTTCTTTAAGAATGAATAATTTTTAAAATATTTAAAATATTTATTATTAAATTAATTTTTTTTATCGTAAAAATTATTGTTGATTGATTATTGCAAGATACTTTGTGTTATATTTTTGTTAATTTCGATTTTATGATTGATAGACTTTTTAAGCAAAAAAAAGGCTCCCTTGTGATAAATTTTAGAACTGAGGAAAAAAACGAAATTTAATTCATACAATTTTATTCATCATACTTAACAAGCACACTGTTTTGAAGATGTAAATGATAAGGTGATATGATTATTCAGTAAATCAATTTTTGCTTTTAATTGAAAGATAACAATTCTGGCATATTAGAATGTGAATTATTTAGATGAGCAAGAAAAAATTTAGTGATAGAGGTACAGATTGGTTATCAGTAGCAGTCATACGAATCGAATTATAGTTTATCTTAGTTAAAATCATGAATTTTGTATTTTCTAAAAATTCACTATTATCACCGATGTAAAATATTTTCAGAGAATTGGGAAACAAAATTTTCGTAATTTGTAAAACTTTATGAAAAATTTTATTTTCTATTTAGTTTTCGATGATGTTTGATCATTTTTCTAATGAAAACAAAGAAAAACGTTTTGATTTACATTTTTTTTCTATCGTTTGAATCAATTTTTTTTCTAATTTGATAGTTATCATTTGATAAAATTTTTATACACTTTTTTAATTGTTTTTCGTTTATTTATTGGTTAGTATAAAATAAAAATAATTTTAAATAATTATTCGCCCTAGATGAATTTTTGGATTTTTTGGAAGTGAAAATGTTCAAATGGGCATTTTTTTAATGAGCATTTTCATTTATTTCAAGGTGATAATCGGTTTATATAATTAAATCTATGATAAGTTTCGATGGGTAAAAGGTCAGCTTGGATTATCATTTTAATCATCTTAATGAATTTAGCCTAAGGTGATTACTTTTTTTTTATGGAAGCTTCTTTATAGAAAATCATGTAAGAATTGAGAATTAAAGTTTGTAAAAAAGACCTCCAATCGATAGAAAAATTTCTTTCCTTTTCTTTGATTATTTTTACGTGTTTTAGAAAAATTAGTCCAATTTATCATCGGAATTTTTTTTTTTTATAAATTTGTCGAATGTATTATTCATTTCAAATAAATAATGCAATTATTCGGGGTAAATTTAGTTATTTGCAATTATTTACAATAAATTTTCATTTTTATAGATCATAAAAGTCATGAAATTGCATTGGTCTCATGCAATTTTTGTATCGATAGTCCACGGTTTTTAAAATATGGAATTATTGCAATCGGAATAAAGGTTTATTTTTTTTCTATAGAACTCGTAAAAATTTAGGGAAAAGGTGGTACTTACAAATTGTTTGTATAGCCGACAATTAGTAGGAGAATTTATTGCGATTTGTGGGAGTAATTATGCAAATTTTGTTAAAGACTTATAAAGTAAAACCATTGCCTTTTTTCTCTATTCTCTTCTGAAAGCAGTATCATTATTTTCGGTTTGGCTGGCTGCATTGATTGCACTGCTAGGATGAAACATTTACATTATTCTTTTTCCAGAGAATCATTAGGAAAATTTTCGAAATAGGGTAGGTTTTCCCAGTTACTGCCTGGATTTCACTTTTAATGTCAAGGTTACCTCTTTAAAGGAGCCTCTAGCTTTCTCGCCATCGCAAGGACTCACCCTATTATTTTTAATTATTATTGTAAATATAATAAACAAATTATTGCGATCCATTTTTAGACGTACCTTGCTTGTGTTTCGTGGAAACCTTTAGTTGAAGGACATTGCATGATAGTGCCAATTTGTCATTATTCATCAACGACGCATCTCGATGAAGATGTCTATGATGAAATGCGAATTTGGCGAAAGGTTCCAATTTTCATGCGTTATCTGATTTTTATTGATAAGATGACGGGGAAAAAGGAAGTTGGGAAAAATCAAATAACATCGCATATAATTTTTTTTTCAGGGATTAGTGGCAATGTGGAAAGCACAAAATATGGATTGTGTTTTTATTGAAATGGCAAATAATGTCAAAAATCGTGGACACATGTTTATAGAATGTATTCCTTTGCCAGTTGACATCGGTGAAATGATTCCAATCTATTTTAAAGTATATTTAATTTAATTCTTTTTTTTCTTCTAATAGTATAAAATATTTGTGATTTAACTTTTTTCGCAGAATATTGATGTGTAAAGTAGATTCTTTCAGTGGAGACTGGGAATAAGGGTACTAGTGAGTGCCTGGCAGCACTTGATAAGGTTTTTAGCAAGTTTTTTCCATCTATAGAAATAGAAATCCATTCTCTGTAATTTGAACAAAATCATCAGCAAAATCAATATAGTTTAACGATTTAATTTAATTGGACCTAGTTTAATTTTGCTATGTCAGCTTTAAGAATAGTTTATTGGCTGCTGAAAATGATTGGATTAAATTTAAATAAAAATCTGAAATTCATTAAAAATTTTTCAGAAGGCAATCGATGAAGCTGAAACCGAATGGTCAAACAATAAGAAATTAATTGATTTAAATAAGAAAGGTGGTGATTTGCGTAAAGCAGTTCCAAAAGGTTTTCCATATTTTGCTGTCGATTTCGGTTTACATGCCGGTTATGCTCATGTTATCGAAAATGTTGATCGTTTCCCAAAGAATTTCGCTTACGTATTATTTCTTCGATTATTTCAATTGAACTTTATAGATTATCAACTAATAAACAAAAAAAAAAGAAAGACAAGATTTTTTTTAGTGGAAAACCTAAAAATCTTATTGTGTTTCATCACATCAGGCGATTGTTTTTTTTCTTCCCAATTTGCTGATTATGAGATAAGAATTAGTGATTTAATCACAATAAACTTGTGACCAATAAAAAAAAGTAGTTTTTGAAATTATTTCATTTCATTTAAAAAAATTTTTATTTAATAATTTTGCAAATTTATTATTTTTTTAGGAAATAATCGGAGGAATTTTGGATTTGGATTTTGGTTTGTCGAGAAAAAAAGAAAATTTAAAAGGTGAACAATTAAATAGAAATTGCGAGCATATGAAAGAATTATGGTTGCCTTACGATTGGACGGAAAAAGTTAAGAAATCTCTTGCTAATCAATGATTTTTTTCAATTTTATTTGTATTTTAATAATATAAATATATTAAAAATAAAAATATACAAAAAAGTATTTTTTAATATATTTTAATAAAATTTGAAAATATTTACTATTTACGTCTAAAAATTTATCTCCTTCTATCAATTATATTTGCTTCACTGAATAAAATAATCTATTCTGTTGTAAGCAAATTGATGGCAAATTTCTGCAAATTCCAAATTCGGCACAAATTAGACGTATTTATTAGGAAATATACTAAATTGAAAATAAATGATAAAATAAAAAGTGGTAAAAGTGGTTTCCGAAAAAATTTTTATGGAAGAAAATGAATTAGAAACTCATATTATCAATGCCATATCATTGATTTCTGTTATCAACTTGTTGTTTTATCAGTTAAGGCTAATGTTTGGTTAATTAAATGAATGAATCATTTTCTGAATTTTTTTCAATCGTTTAGCATTGTATCTTAGTGCAGAGAGTGGAAAAAACTGAAAACGATATTCAGATAAAATTAGTTTCATGCAAAATGTGGGAAATATACAAATCCAGATTGAATACGAACAAACTCATAGCGCAGCTGCTCTAATGCCAAATGCCAAATGAAATTTATCAAAAAATCAAATGATCGATCAACACACAGCATAATTTGAATTCCACGAATTCCTGATTTGTGACTATGATTTATTAATGCTCAGTTTAATTTTATAATATTTTCCACCCGAAAAGGATAGAATGGCTTAATGGGTTGTTATTCACCTCTGAGCGCCGATGCTGAGGTTGTAGTAAACCTGTCCAAAAATATGGGTGACTCACCTGAACTTCTATCGCCAAAGGACTCCCCTGGCATATTTGTCCAGTGCGACATGCCAGCGGAGCGGAGTTTAACCAGTAATGATGAGGACTCTTAAAAAAAGAATTTCCACTCGAATAAAGCTAAAATTAAATTAATAATTGTCGAGTGGTACTTGTTTCGACTAATGTGAATTCTAATTTCGTCAAAATTCTAATTTTATTAGACTATCTATCAGAAGTCTATAAGAAGTTTATTTTCGGTCTCTTAGAAAGCGGGAAGGATTGCTGCAGAATGAAAAGGATTGCTTTTCATTAAAGCCGAAGTTCGAGTGGTACTTGAGTATCTTCTGTACTTCTATCCTCAAGTGACTAACAGTGGCACTGATCGTGACTGTCATCGTAATAAACGATAGAGCTCATCGAAAATAAAACTGGTGATTGCACTTATAAGAAGAAAAAAGAGAAAATAGAATTTCGAAATGAATAGATAATATTAAGTACAAATAAGTAAAATAAAATTCACAGAATTAATTAAAATTCATTAAAAAATTAATTATTTAATTATTAATTAAAATTAAAAATCAAAAAAAACTGATTTACTCTCTATCAAAGAATCAATTAGTAAGCCAAAGTTATTTGTAAAGCCATTGGTGAGCTCATTAGGCTTATAAAGGCAAGCCTAATTTGGCCTATGGTACTGGTTGTTTGGTTAGGTTAGTTCCACTTGCCGTAATTTCTAGTCTATTTGACAAACCTATTTGATTTTGGATTGATAATCATTAAATAAGTTTTAAAAAAATGGTATCATTCGAAATTTTCTAGTTCTTAGTGAATTTATTCTGGATTATTCGGCCCTTTTTTATAAGCACACCTGGCGCGCTGTTCGAGGCTATCGTAGTGACAACAGATAATCATGAAAAACACGGGTTTTTCTAAAAATTGCTTACTGATTGTTGTAACTAATTTTGCATTATATTTATTCTTTAGCAATCCTAATTATTTATCGAAAATAATGGTACTTAGTTTCGAAGAAATACTTAAATAATTTTAAAACATTGCAAATCCTGATTTTGGTACCAAATATGATCATTTTTATTTTAAATCTTGTAATATTTTTTTAATTTTCGAGAAATCGAAATTATTTAATCGCAGCTAAATTTGTAATTAATATAGGAATTAGGATTTAAACGTTTTTCTATAAATTTTACTTATTTTTAATTTACTTACATAATTAATTTACTTGAAATATTTGAGAAATTGCGGATGAGCGTATTTTATTCTCAGTGAGATGATTACGAAGATAATCTCCGACGTAGTCCTAAACATTTTTTTGAACGTCACAAGAATATAATGGACCAATGGACGCTAATGGACCTTCAGGATTTTAACGCTTAATTCAGATTGCATTCTTACGGTGATAAATTTTTCTTCTAACAGCTTTCACCATTATCGATTAGACTGGCTCCACAGGCTACAGCGTTTCCATTCGACTCATGCATTCAAAATATTTCCTAATTGTATATCAGTCCAGATCTTGATTGGCCCACTCCGCCATAAGTTCAGTAAATAAGGAAATATGAGTCAATATCGAAGAACTGCCTGAATCGACGATACATGATGGTACTGATAATGCAAGTGGAATTTGAGCCAAACGAAGAATTTGGTCATGTGGGACTTTATCCACTCGGAGTAAAATTAGAGTACCTTAGACATGAGTGGTCAAAAGCAGATAATATCCTGCATTCTCATAAGTCATGTCTCTCAGCCATATAGCAAGATCGAACGAATCGCAGCTATATAGACACGGTCTTCTGTTTTCACGGTGATTTCGCGGCGAATCCATAAATTTTGTCAAACGGAAAAACGCATTTCTAGCTACCATTAACCGGGTTGCAATTTCGTCCTTTGTTTGGCCATTTGGGATTAAAATGGATCTAAGGTATTCAAAATCAGGCACTTTCTCCAATAAATAAATATCAAAATAAATATTTTATCAGTTTCTTTTTTTTTATATATGACAAAAAACTTTGTTTACAATGACTCCCCATTCTTGCTACAGTTGTCGACACATTGTTCAGCATTATTTGCATTTCGTCAAAACTGTCAGCAAAAAGGACTACATCATCAGCGTCTTCAAGGTCTATAGGATATTATACTCTGGACAGGTTTGCACACCTCTTGAGTGACGACAAACAATGCGCATTATCCAGTCTATAGCATAGTCGAATATTGAGCGAAAAGGACACAACCTTGACAGACTCTTATTTCGAACGATTCTACCACTTCACCATAAACGCAAAATTGACCGACATAGGCTGATAAAATGCCTTTAAAATAAATGTCGATAGTAAATCATGCAACAAAATATGAATTTCAGTAAATTATTATTTTTTTTTACTATAAACTATTCTTCGTATTCTGTATATAGTGATATGTCGTAGTATTTGTTAGATCAATTCTTAATTGCTTTAATTTTATGTTGACGAAAAATTCTGAATATATACATACTATTGTATTATAAATTAATATTTTGCTCATAAATCCATGAAACTAGAAAAATTAATCCAGAAAAATTAGGATTATTATTCTAGGACTATTATTCTATAAAAGGCGTCCAACGTCAGATATTCATCATCTACAACTTATTAGACCTTTTAAAACATTTTTCTACCGGACTGGATATTGGATATTCTCTATGTGAAACAATTTTTTATTGTCCATAATTCTATTTAAAAAACATATACATAATGCCCTGGATGAAGTGGAACTTATGTGCATACATCGTGCCACTGATAGGTAAACAACGCGAACCATGGGCCGAACTTTTAGGATATGATTGTATTTTAAAAAAAGGGCCGAAACAGGATATTTCAAACTTAACCCTATTTAGACTGTCAAATTGCGTCACCATCTGTTAGGTGGATAAATTTAAGATTTTTGTGGTATTTTTCGGTTGGGGGAGTTATGAGCTTGGAGGTTTAGCGGCACCATTGGTGTCACTTGTCGCAAGTACCACTGTGCGGGGAGTTACAGGAATTACGGAGAAATTCAGGTTCGATTATTTTTATGAAAATGATTGACTTGTATTTTAATTCACTTTGTAAATTATTACTTATTTTTCGTTGGTAATCTTCATTCTCCAATAATTTTAATTAGCTTATTTACTTTGCCGATTTATTTTTAGCAATTTAATTTTGTTTCAATCTTTTGTACTTCGTTTTAACAAAAATTATTTTTCAAATAATTAGAAGAGAAAAGAATTCAAACTCTTTCACGAATTTTCCATCTTTTTCCAAGCTTTTAATAGAAGAATCAATTTGTTTTCGATTTTTAAAAAATTCTTGGGTTAGCGATAATCGTAAATAAGATTTTTATAAATTGCGTTTCATTTCAGTTGGAAATAATTTTATTTTTCCACATTTTATTTTTTGCCAAAAAATGACTTAAAGTTATGCTGGTAAGCGAAATAAAAATCGTGGTGGTCATTCTTTTTTTTTCAATTTTTTCGCATAAAAAATCGGAATTAGTCTAAAAAATTTTAATTTAAGATTTTATTATAGATATTTTGCAATATTTCGAAGATCGTTTCCCATCATGATTTCACTGAATGGTGATCTGAAGTGATGACAACGTTTCGACATAAGTCAAATATGAGTAAACCACTTCGAATCTCGTTGAATTCATTAAACACTGATAATGGCCGATTGACGAGATCATTCAAATGTTTCAAGGTGTTTTCGCAAATATTTTTATGTTCATTTTCAGTTATTGTTAATTTAAAATAAATTTGAATTGATATTAGCTGTTTGGGAGCGTCGATGCTGAGGTTCAATTCCGCGTAGGAGTAGACCTATACAAAAACCCGGGTGATGCTGGTGACCCATCTGTATTTCTATCGCCAAGGGACTCCCTAGCATATTGCGAGAAGACAGTGGAGCGAGTTTAACCAATAATGGTGAATACTTTTTAAAAAAAAAAAACCATTTCTGACTGAATATAATGATAAGATTTCTTCACCTGAGGTTCATTGAGTATTGAGGTGAGTTATTCAGCTGCACCCGCATTTCGTTTTCTTAGATTTCTTAGATTTCTTGGATGGTTTACAAAATCAGAGTTTACTGGTGTAAATGGTTCATTTTCTTGGAATTTCCATTAAATTATTTTAAAATATCTAAAATGAACAAAATTATTAAAATATTTCTAATAAAAAAAATTTAATTTAATTTTAGTTTGTCGGTAAACCTACACAAATTTTGCCATTTATTATATTTTCTGACTTTTTACTTTCTTTTCACAATTTGTTTGTGATATAAATATATTTTTGTTTCCAAATTTAGCTTTATTGCAATTTTTAATTTGACCTTTAATTCTTTTGTTCATTCTTACGTTATTCTCATTCATTTAGTTCTCCAATTTTTTGCGATCTCTAAATGCATCGTCTATTATTCTAATGTTGATCCCTCATGATTTAAATCAATTTTTAGTAATATTTATTTATTTAGTAATATTTTCTAGCGTTTTCTAAATTATTTTTGAATTAAGTTAATGAATTATCTTTTTTAGAAAATAAAAAAGATTGGTTTATTTATGACTGGAAAGCCAACAGCAAGCCGTATGAATAGAACTCTCAATCTGCAGTCGTTCGAGGTTGCTTTTGAATCTCTTTTGATCAATTTTCTTCATATAAGCAATGCGCGTTCTAATCTAAATTATTCAGGTGCAAAGTCATAAAAAAACCTATATGACCACTTCACAAGAGTTAGAAATACCAAAGTTTATTGAAGTTGGAAGGACTGAACCACTCAGAGGAACACCTCGCCTTAATGATGAAGTAAAACTCATATTTTAAAATATTTTTCATTTTATGTGAATGCCCCATTGATTAATGAGCTTGATAGATGTCATTCAAAGTGCTATGTTATAAAAAATTGTTATTTTTAAAAATTATTATGGTCCGACTCCAACATTTTTTCATAATTTTTAGGACTGTTCCGATGAAGCTTACTTAAAACGTCACGAAAAACATGAAAAACAAGAGAAAATTATGAAGAGGCGTGATTTAAGTCGCCAACGCGAGCAGTTGTATAGGTACAGTTTATATATACAGTATATTTTTGTTATAAGCCAGATTATTTATTTCGCTAATTTGCCAATTCTATATAGGCGAGACAAAATATCGAGACAAAAACACATGAGATTTTCACGAATTAAAATAATTGAAATTCAGCTTAAGCAATTTCTCTTTTTATAGAATGCATCTCATGAAGATCTCAACACCCGAAGAGCCTAAATTACCAATGATTAGTGCTGTTAAGGTGGTTTCTCGTATACCAAAATTTAAAACAGGAAAAAAGAATTGATGTTTCGTTTAAAAATTTTATTTCTACAACATTTAATTTCTAATTGCAAATGTGTTTTGTTTATTTTATCAACTTTTTTTTTGAATCACCCATTGTTTTTTTTAAATTTTCAGCTGTAAATGTATTTGTTCTTTTTGTTTGTGTTAATTTCAAATATATATGTTACTTTGTATATTTTTTAATTGCAAATTAGAATTATAAATGTATTGATTTTCTTTGTTTCATTTTCGATTTTAAATGTATTTATTTCTTTTCGTCTTTATTCTTATTTATTCGGGTTTTATTATTTCGTTTTTCTAAATTTTTTTCGAAATGAAAATTCGATTTGAATTTGCGCAATTGCATCATCTTAGGAATTTTAGATTAGATAATATTTGATAAGAATTTTATTTGAATTACTGCGATCGATTCAAAAAGATCAATTATAAACAAAAATGCCAAATCCATTAATCGATTATTTTCTTATTGTAGGTCGAGTACGATAGGGCGAATAAATTGTTTCACAATCGCAACAAAATTTAATGAATAGCGAGGAGTTTAGATCGTCAAATTTTATTGTATAACTACACAGACATAGTAAAACATTTTATTATTAAATGCAGAAACAAACAAAAAAAGAAAAAAACGGAAGAAGCGTGCCATTTAAAAAAATATACACACACTTTTGTAAAAAGTGGTTACCTGTAATCAGAGATCGATTCCTGTAAGATAAAGTTTCACTAGGGCATCAAAAAGCTTTCAAATAGTTCCTTTAATCTTTCGGATTCTTTATCCGATCTTCTTTTCCATTTAAATTCGCTTAATAAAATATTTTTTGATTTGACGAAACGAAACTTCATTCTTTCTTCAATTTTCTTTGTCTTTCCATTTTTCTTCATTAAACACTGGAATTAATTAATAAAGGAATTTTTTGAAGCGTATATTAGGCATAATATCAAACAAAAATGAAATAATAGAAAACTTGAAAAAAATAATTTTCAATTTTTTTTAAACAAATTGCGTCCAAGCGATAATACCTGAGCACAATTCTTGAAAAAAAAGGAATAAAACTATAAGTAAATCATGCATAAAACGCGAACAACATCTATAAAAGAATAAATAAAATGACGAAATTGGCCTTAATAACGATCTCTGTCATAAGAGCGCGACCGATGTCTACGACGATAATCATAGTATCTCGGCGAGGGGCTTCTTCTACGATAATCATAACGTCCACGATAGACAGGCGAATATCTATCCCCATCATATCCATAGTAGCGCCTTGAAATAGAAAAAACATCATTTCATTATTACCAAAAAAGAATTATGAAAAAAATGAATACCTATTGCTTTTATATGGTGGTGGACTATGCCAATATGCACTTCGATACGCACGACGTCTACCATCAACTGAACCCATATATATGCCTGGAGTTGGTGTATGCGCGCGTTTAGTTAGCGAAAAATCAACACGCACACGATGACCATCAATTTCAGTGCCAACAATTCGCTCTTTAGCATAAATTGCATCTTCTAAATTTTTGAAATATACAAAACCGAATCCACGCGATCGCCGAGATGGATGATCAAATACTAGTTGAGCTTTTTCTAATTCGCCATATTTCTCGAAAATTTCCTACAAATTAAATAAAATTGGAAAAATTCAAATTTTACTTTAAATTAAATTGCTTGCTTACTAAGCCACAATTAAAGCAGTTTAACCAATCAAATCAAAATAAAATGAAACACTAAAAACAAATCTAAACTATCAAAGAGTGAATAACTTGTTTTTGCCAAGAAAATATACAAAAATTTCTCTTTCCAAAATTACTTTCATTAATTGGTCTTTTTTTTGAACCATTCCTAGCGAAAATTTTTAAAAATAATTCTCACCGTAGCTATCTGACAATCAACGCATTAAACTATTTATTCCATGGATTAAAATTTTATAATAAAAAAAAACCCAACCAAAAACCACAAAATTTAACGAATTACCAATAACGAATAACGAAAATTATAATAAAAATCACCTTAAGGTCACGTTCAGTAGTGTATAGTGAAAGACCAAAAACGCCTAAACAACGCGACGGTTCAGGTTCTTCGCGTCGTATAGATCTTGAACCGTTATCATATCCTCGACGTGGTGTACGAGACCGTCTTGACCTGGATCGAACATTTTAATTCAATACATGAAAACGAATAAAAATGGTTGATTTATCGGAATTCTATAGCTGAAAAAACCCTGCAAAAGAAGACCTCTCTTTCTTTACCTTGAATGCCTTGAATGGGAATCTGATCGCGACCTGGATCGTGAAAATGACCTCCCTGATCGAGAATTGACTGATCGATTGCTGAAACCGTATATTTAACAGTTTCATAAAATAATGAAATCATAACAAATACGAGCGGAAAGTTGCTTTGACTGAAATGAAATAGTCCCACTTCTTCCCTTATTTAGAGCAAGCCAATCCACCTGTAGCCTATTTATACTTTTATTCCCAAGCATCTTCCTTGGACGAATCCAAGGAACTTCAAAGAATTATTATGAAGAAATGTTTTGAAAAGTTAAAAATCCCACATTATCATTGATCATTATCATTAACTATTTACTTTACTTTACTTGTATCAATAATCAACAAATAACCAAATTTAAATTCTTTTTTTAAATTTTCCCAAAGTTATACAAAAAAGCGCGTGAAAAAACTATCAATCAATTTGTGTATGTAACAATGTTTAATGTTTAAAATTAAAAAAATTAGCATAAAAAAACATTTCTATATCTAATTATTTATGTTCTCCTTCTTTACCATATATAATTTCTGGCTTGACTGGTTTCGCGAATTATTTGCTATGAAACTCTGCCAGTAAGTCCATGATAAAGCATAGGTGAATTTCCAGCATTCGCACAAATTTCACTTTTGATAGAAGATTTATTCTTGTCAAAAAATTAGAGAAAAATCTAGGCCATCAGCAGAAGCAAACTAAACGACCAAAGAAACCAAATGAATCGTCTGAACCTTTATTTCTACTCTTCATTACCCATTTCAACTATTTATGAATTTAATTATTTACATAAATTATCTGTGATTATCATGGACAATATTAATCTGAAAAATATTAAAAAAACTTACTCAGAATCAGATCTTGAATAAGAACGAGAACGCGTTTCACTTCTTTCTAATATCTCATCATTTTTCGAATTATTCTGAAAAAAAATATATCTTTTTTTGCCTGAAAATCATCATTTCACAACCATTAAAACATTTCTGAACGAGAAGATATGAATTTTTCTTTTTTTCCGAATTTCATTTTTCAAATTTTATTGCCAAAATTATTCAACATAACCCACTAATAAACAATATTTTTATATAAATGAAAATATTCAAATGAAAAAAGTTGGATAACCTTTAATGATCCCCTATTTCACTATTTAATCTTTTTTTTCACCTAAAGGCATTCATTATTTCTCATTCAGTTGACTTCACTAACTACTAAGTTATGGTTCTTCGGCTAACAGTGTTGCAGTGCTCCGAGAATATATCATGCATCATGCACATTTTACTTCTGAATTATTCATCAAAAGACAAGAATCGAATCAATAATAACCGAGTTTTATCTCAACCAAAATAAAATACCACTCAATTAATATTTACCAATGATAAACAATCACCCATAAAAAAAAACTCCCCCACTCCCCCATAAAGAAAAAAAGCCAAGAAAAAAATCTGTAAAACGAGAAAAATAGAAATATAATAACCTTATCAATGATTACTTGACCCATTTTCTGTAAAATACTTTAATAATTTCTTATACAAATTTTCTTCCTTATTTTATCGAACAAATTGGAAAATCCTCAAGAAACGCCGAACAACTTAATCGAACAACAACGAAATATCCCTGTCACAACCGAATGCGGCCTCAGCCACTTGTGGAAAAAAACATGGCCAAAAAATATTTCTCCAAAAAATTTCCAATCTTTACATTTGTAATTAATTTCCATCCAGAATAACAAATAAACGCTTAAAATAACCAGTTAATAATTTTTTGCGAAAAATTTTAATCATACCGAATCATCGCTTATTTTCGAATCGCTATCATCAACGACGTTCCTCGAGCCATTTTTGTTGCGTATTTTCTCTTTGCCAATATTGCTTCGTTTTTTCTCATTTGCCATTCAAAAAAAAAAAGAAAAACGATTCTCTAAAAACAATAAAAATAATTTTCTATAAATCTCGAAATTTCATGCTATTCAAGAAACAAAAAGTTATAAAAAAAAGAAAAAAAACAAGAAAATAAAGATTCGATGAAAACGATTTTCTTATTTCAAAAAAAATTACAAAAAATAATTTTATCACATCATTATAAATATATACAAAATATGTGATACATGGACGTATTTTGCAATGATTAATTTTTTAACGCGCCTGCGCATCTATATAAATCTTCGATTAAATGAAAAAATAAATAAATATTTTAAATTTACAATCGTATTCCCATTAATCACCCGGATTTTACTTTTTATGACATTTTTTCTAATTTCTATAATCATTCACCATTTTTAAACATCAGCGAATACCAAAAAAATATATTTTCATAAACCAAAAAAGAAAACGATCAAAAGCCTTCAGTTAAAAATCCACTTATTAAACCTAAATATAAATGATCAAAACACAATTAATAATAAAAATACAATAATCACAAGAAAACCAATAAATTCCAATAAATTTTGCTGATATTTGATATTCAAATAAGATTAAATAAAATTAAAAATAATAATAATGCTTACATCTTTAATAAATATTTATCAATTAAACAAGAAAATTATTTTTAAAGAATCACAATCTAAGAATTTTCAATTATTTCTAAACATTAAATGCTATTTATTTTAAAGAATTTCAAATAGAACGGTTAATAAAACGGTTAATAAACGAATTTGAAGTATATTTAATTGAGAACTAGAAACTTATTCAGTTACTTACGACCTTTCTTTACTTTCTTATTATTATTCTTCTTCTTCTTGTTCAGTTGAGCAGATTTTAAGGCATTAAGTGTTGAATGCTTTATTTCTTCAGCATGTTTCGCCTTTTTAAGCGCCAATTCCTTCTTCAATTCCTTGTAATTAATATATTTACGTTTTAGAGGTTTAGCACCAAGTTTTACAGCAAGACGACTTCGCGCCTTATCTCGTTCTTCATTATCACTACATTCATCAGCTGCTAATTTTTCCGCCTGTAATTTAATTAATATTATTAACTAATAAAGGCTAAAATTTTTCTATTGTTTTCTTTATTATTAACAAGACATTCCTAAAACATTCGTATACAAATCCATTTGACTCCGCTAACTACTTACAGACATATTTTTTTCCGCAAATGAACCGAAATGGTGCTTACGCAAGATCTAACATGATAATATAGACCAAGTGGTGCTCTGCCCCTTCATATGATAAACTATAAAAGTGAAAAGACTTACAGCGAACGTTACTTTCTTGAAAATCGCATGCTGATCGAGTTTTTCACGTTGTTCAAGTTGTTCATTATCCTTCATTTTTGTTTCCTTCTTAAGAATAGACTTATTTTTTGTTGCCCAAATTTTTTCCTTGTAGGGCACAATCTTAAAGCATTACTAAAATGGTAATTGTTATCGATTTATCATTATTAACAAAAAAAGAAAGAGAAAAATACAAGTACGAATTTTCATAAGAAAATACCCATTTAGCCCATCAAAAAAAAATTTTCTAAATTAAATAAAAAGATTAAAAATGTTTGAAATAAAAATAAAAAAGTTTTCCAAAATATAAACTCACTCACTTCAACATTTTGATCTAAATTTGCTGAAAAAATTTGGTTATATTTGAGATCATCATAATCCGATGAATCTAACGATTCAACTAATCGAACTAAAGGTTCAATTTTCCCATACGAAGAAGAAAATAAATTTGCTTCATCGACACATCCCCAATTATCCATTCTTTTTCTTTCTCTAAATCTTTTGCAAAATTTAAAATATAAATAAAAATTCAAAATTTTTAGTTTGAAATTTAAAATATATGAAAAAATTCAAAATAAAATAAAAATAGAAAAAAGTAATATATTACACATTGAAAATCTAATGAAAATCTTAAAAATAAATAAGATTTTAAAAATATTTAAAAAAATACAAAAATTTCATTCCCTACTTAATAAATAAAATTTGTTGAAAATCTTTTCGGTAAAAAATATCAGAATATTTCCTAAAAAAAAAAGAAAAGGCTGAAGAGAAATCCGAGAAATCCTAAATTAAAAATTCTAATTATATGAATATGATTATACTCTTACTAAAAAATTTTTTTTCTTAGCCCGCTAAAACAGTACTGGAAATAATAATATTAAAAATATTATACATTTATTAATTCGTTACTGGTTAAAACTATATTTTTTGCTATTTTTAATATTTTTCCCTTTTTCTATTATATTTATTATTTGTTTTTTATTATTTTTTATTATTCATTATTATTATTCTTGTATTTATTGTTTTTGTTTATAATTTTCCTAATTTTTTTTGCGAATTAAATTTTCCATGAAAATTAATATTTTTTAGAAATTCAAAATTCTCTCCTTTTTAAATTCCAAATTTTCTTTATGGAAATAATTAAATTAAATTAAATTTATTTATTTTTTTATTTAATTTGAATTTTGAATTAAATTTTTAAAATATAAACTATTAAAATTTAAGAATTTTTCAATTGCAAAAGAAAAACAAAAACGAAAAATTAAAATGCGAATTGGCCAAATAAAAATGGTGCAAAAAAATTTTTGACGAAACCTAAAATTCACCAAAAAAAAAATTCGACTCAAGGAAAAAATCGACCACTCTCAAACTGAACAATATGACGAATTAGAATGTTGCCAAAACTTGTTTACGCGAACACCGCAAAATTACTAATTATCGGCTAAACCTAAATCTATTTATCTGCAATATTTCTTTGTATTCTCTTCATTATCGTATTCTTTTGTTATAAATAAATGATTTCTTAGTGGATCAAAGATCATCAACGATCGAAGTTTAGCTTTGTGTACGCATTTCATATAACAGTTGTTCATTGAAATAAAATGGGGTGTGTGGTTGAGTTTGTTGTGAAGTTGTGGTGGCAGCTATTTGTGGTACCAAATCATATTTGGGTTGTCGAACTTTATCGGTTGCTAGGTGGAACTGCTCTACCAGAGGATACCACTTGAGAAGGTCACCGGAGGTGTCGAGAGTTTCACCTTTAATGATTCGACGGATTTTACTCTTCTCAAGGAGCAAACTTGCAATTAATATATAAAATGATATTCTAATTTAAAAGAAAATTTCAAAAATTAGGAAATAATTTTATGGAGAGAATTGAAAAACAGTTGAGTAGTAGAAACCAGATTAAAATTTTTACTCTAAACTGAATGGAACTACAAATGACAGCAAAATAACTGGTAGACTGGTCGAATCTCATTAAACCTTGCCTTGTTATTCCTTTCTTGTGAGGTTCGCTCATCTGACCTATCGGAAGGTAGGTTTTTGGTTATTGAATCACTGGGTGATGGAAATACAAATAGGCTCAGTGGCCAATGCCCAGTGCCAGCCAGATTTTAGTTTTAGTTTTTCCTATTAATGGCTGAATTTCGAATTTCGATGGCGATAATTTATGCTTATAATTACTAAATGCTTAGATATTTGCGAGAATCGCTTATCGTTTTATATTCATATGGCCTATTCTCATTTATTTTTTTCGAGGTGGTTTTCAAGTTTTTTTCCACTTTTCAAAAATCTTTTCCAGTTTCTTCCCTCTTATCGCATTTCGGAAAGAATGAAAAGTGGAATGTTGTTTTTCCGAATAATTTCATTAACGCAATTTCTTCGCAAATAATACATACAAATAATACATACTTTTGATGATTAAAATCTTAAAGTTTTAAATTAAAAATAAATAAATAATTATTTGTTTATTTTTCATTAACGTGAAAATGAAAATCTAAAGTCATTTCAAAAATTTTATTGAAAAAAATCAATAATGAGATAAATCATGGAGGAACGAGGATGAACCTATAATTAAAGGTGAAACCTGGATGATTATTTGGTGATTCCTTATTGATATGATTATTCCCCCCCAAATGATTGTTTGTTAAAACGGTTTTGTTTTATTTTTCCTAGCAATCAGCTGAATCACCATTGATGCATAGACGGTTAGCAGAAATATTATTTATTGTTTCTCGCAGTTTATTTTTCCTTATTATAAGAATATTTGAAAGGAATATATCGAGAAAATATTTTAATTTCAAATGTTAAAAGATTAGATAATATTTAATGACAAAAAATGCATTTTTGAATAATAAAAATTAAAAATTACAAATGATTACAAATCGTCGAATTCTGAAAGCTTCTTGAAATGCCAACGAGAGAAAAATTTGTTTTGTTTTTTAAAGAGTTCGCTGATATTAGTGAACCATATTTGTATCTTTTTTAAGAGTCCTCACCATTACTGGTTAAACTCGCTCCACTGGCTTGTCGCATTGGCGAATATTGCAGGGAGTCCTTTGGCGATAGAAATATACAGATTTCTATATATGTTTACTCCCGCGAGGGGTCGAACCTCACCATCGGCGCTCCCAATTAAGCACCAATCCGCTGAAGCATTTATTTCAATCCCCCTAGTGCATCAATAACCAAAATATATCGTCTAATAAGTCAATGAGAGGAGCGAGTAGAGTTTAACGAGAAATGATAAGCGTCTAAGAGACTTAGGAAAAGGGAAAAGGAAAGGAAGAGATTTGCAGTAAAGTAAATAATGTAAAGTAAGAAAATTGTTAATTTTCAAGTTGCTATCAATCAGTGATATCAACTAAACTGACAGTAAATTTATTCAATTTACATTCTAAAAAAATATAAAAAATTTTTTAGTCAAAAATACACCAAATATCGTTTTTTTTCATTTTGTTTGTTGAATCTGAAAATTTTTTTTTTTTAAATTTAAAATTTGATATAAATCTTGTAAGGCATTTTTTCTAAAAACAATTTCTTTCTTCGATATAGTTGAAAAAAATTTTCAAAAAAATTGAAAATACTTTTTTTTTCTCGGTGCTTATTAAAATACTTATCAAATTTTATCATATTTTTGGTGTCCTCATTGATAATTCATTGATAATCATTCGATGCTTATTAAAACAGATCGAGGATTTCGAAACGCGAAACGCGAAATTCATAATGAATCATGGATTTCTTTGTGATAATTTTTAGTTAAGCCTATTTAGGAATTCCGAATAATAATGTAGAGGAATATAGTGGAAAAAAATTCAGAGTGATAGATAATGATAATATTAAACTATTACAATTGCTATGCATAACATTTACAACTAAAGGAAATGTTAAATTCCTCCAGTTTAAAGTTAATAAAAAAAAATAAAGTTTGTAAATTTTCTACCATCCGCTAACGTTATTCTTGGCCTTATTGTTCTTGGATTGTTAGCCTAAGAGAATTCCCTTAATGAAGTAAAATTTAATTGAATTTATAGAAAAAAATACCTTTCGAAGAGATTTAATGCCTCCTGCATTCCTTATCGCTTCCATTAAATCGTCGTGCGCATTTCTTTGCTTCACTTTCACATTCTAAATACATAAAATTAAAAAAATACTTATTCCTCAATCTCGCTAGGTCTCCGGCAGAGGACCTAAGGTTGAGGGTCATGCTCGCCTATAGAAAACCTCTTTTTCAACCATGGTCGGCATTCGATTAACCTACAAATCGGATTAGAACGCAGTACTTTCGAAAAAGAGAAAGACGTACAGGTATCGTTGGTTTCAATTTGACATTCATCAATTCGTCAATCAAAGAAACAGAATTCATTCGAATAACTGAAGAGTTATTTCCATATTGTTGCCTATTTGTGTAATTTTCACTTTTCAAATCGCAAACTGAATGGCGATAGAACGGTTGAAAATCGTGAACCGATTGTTTAATTGTAGAAAAGAAGAACTCATCAGTAGATTTGTCAGATTTTTGCCTTGAATTTTGCGATTCCATGATAAATGATGAATGATTATGGCCATTCTAAATCTATTTATCTATTTAGAGATTATCAAAGAAAGATTTTGCACATTTATGTTTATCAACAATAGTATTGCAAAGCGGTAAGCGCTTATCATTTGTGATTAAGCTTTTTCCATTGTCTACTATGGTGAAAAATCCTTCGCTACGGAATATTTAGCGATAGGCGATTAATAAACGACGACACCACCAGCATCATTCGGATTTTGATGACAAACTCACCCCTATCGTAAACAGAATTCGCACCTCAGAGGCTCAAGACGATAATATGGGTAGTAACCACTTGGCTATTCTGCTTTAAGTGCAAATAGTCGTATTGCTCAGTAGGAGAAATGTTTTTTATGGAAATAGCAAATATTTTTTTTTTGAATGGACAATTGTTACTCAAAGCAAAATGAATCTACGATTTTTAATAAAATATTTTTTTTCCTTTTTCCTTTTTCTGATAGCGCGTTATATTTTTGGCTTGGCTAATAGGCCACTAGAACATAGGAAGATTAGCCAATCTACAGCAGCCAATGGGATTTCAATTTTTATGACTAGTCGGAGGGCAGAGAAATTCGATATTCTTCCTTATCACAATCGTAACCAAAAATTAGCCATACACTATATTTGGAATTTTTAGTCAATGTTATCGGTTGTATCTGATCATCATCAATTGTAATACGACTTATCAGCTCGGATGAATCATTGCTTGGTTCATTTTCCTGCAAAATATATTGTTACAATAATATTAAATTCCATCATCAAATGAAATTAGACGTTTTGAAAATGAAATTTGAATCAGTCCAACCAAATCCTATCTAAGCTAAAGCTTCATAAACTTCTGTTTTTGTGCCATAGGGTTATGTCTATTTGGCAGAAAATTGAGGCTTATATAGCCTTTTTTAATATCAGCAGGTTCCTTTAACTTAGAATCGAATATCTTCTGCTAATAATTGCTTTAAAAAGCGAAAAATGATAACAGTATAGGAGGAGGAGAAAATTAATTATGGTACCGATAATACCTAAAATAACGGTGATCGAAGACTATTAGCGACTATTGGTACTGCTATTGTTATTAGAGTTACTTCAAATTTCGAAGAAATAAGAAATTTCAGCCACATTTTGCAGAGAACCATAATGCAAATTTATGGAACCATAATAATGCTATTAAAAAAAATATGAAAATAACCTGCTGATTGCAATTTTCATTGGTTCTGAGCGCATTTATTTCATTCATAGATTTTTCCATATTTTTCTTATCAATCGATTGCCTATAATTTGTTATCGCTTCATCCTCTGCTAATTTTTCTCGAGAGTCTTCAAAAATTTTATCTTCGTTGCTTTTATTCTCGTTCATATTAGGAATTGATTCAGTTATAAAGCCATCATATTTTTTGTTATCACCATTCGTTGAATTTTTACTATAATCCAACGCTTCAAGCTTATCATCGACGATTGATCGACGAATAAATATTTGTTCTAATGGATTCGATTTATTCGAAAATGCTCTTTTGGAAAATAAGGAATGTGCCATTGGTGAATGAAATTTTGTTAAAGAATGTTCAGTATTTATTTCGATCGAATGATCAAATGCTTTTTGATAAATTCTATCATCATTTTTGGATAAATTTCGTATTGTTTTAGTTGGTACTATTGGTGAATTTTTTAAGGATTTTTCATTAATTTGATACGATTTTGTTTGAATTTTAGCAATTTCTCCATTTAAAATTAGGCTTTTTCGCATATTATTTATTTCTTGTTGTCGCTCTTTTTCCAGTTCGATTTCCCTTTGAATTCTCTCTAACGCCAAATCATTTTCATCTTTTCGACTTAATTTTGTTCCCGAACGAAGTGTACTTGTGATCCAATTTTTCTCCTCTAAATTATTTTCATCGAGTGGAGTGAACGCTTTTCTTGTTGTTGTTTTAGGTTCAGCGCCTATAAATCATTATCATTTATTATCTCAACTTGAATATAAAGTAATGATAACAATTATAAGGGCACTCACAATTACTGATTATACTCGCCCTTCTGGATTATGGTACTAAACAAATATATCAGGCAATCCATTGGCGATAGAAGTAAAGGTGAAGCATCATAGATTTTTGTTTATTCTTGCGGGGAATAGAACCTCAGTATTGGCTTTCCAAATTGAACAACAACTCATTAAGCCATTCTATATTTTCTTTACTTTTCTCTATTAGACGACATTACCGTCCAATGAAGAGTGGTACTTTAGTGGATCTGAATGTAAGTCCCGATTCTCACCAGCAGTTATCTTGCTACTGAGCCACTGAAGCACATACAGTAATGATAACTGAATGAAGATTAAAGAATGGTTAACCATAAATTGCTTTTATTTACCAAAATCACCAGATTAAATAGATTACTAACCAGTGGTACCACTTCGAGATGTCTTAAAAAATTTTTAATAATATAAGGAAATTTTGAAAAATTTATTTTTTTGCAAGGTCAATGAAAGGTCAATAAAGAAAAACAAGTTGGAAAAAAAAAATTTACTCGTTTTATTTGCTTCTAAAGGTAATGAAAATTGATAGCTATTGAGCATTGGCCGTTTTTTATTTTTAGCCATAAAAACTGGCATCGTAGTTAATTGAGAACCATCACCGTTTTTGTAATCAACAAGCGCGCATAGATCTTTAACATAACGAAGTTGATCGAATAAATCCACCTGTAATTGAATTCAACGATAATAAAATCCATAATCCGCAAAAAAATTCTTATCATATCATATCAGTATAAATCAGTTGAAATCAGAGATTAAACTGAGAAAGGCAAAATCGAAATTCTGCTATTATTTTCTTCAGATTGCGCTCACTCTGCTGGTTTGACAAATTTTATCAAGGATTCAGGAAATCCAAGTGAGTTGCTAGCACCACCTTGATTTTTGAAAGATTGATTCACTCAATGATTGTTTCACAACAAGCAACATAAGCTTATTGATTCTTCTATTCATAGAAGTAAATTTTTTACTATTTGAGTGGTACTACCAACTTAAATGGCCTGCCTGCCATTTAATTATCAAACCATTGTATGACATTTCAGTAAGTTCCATGGTACCTGAGCTGTTTGCTTTTCTTTCAACGTATACAAATTCGAATTCGCAAGCATTTCTTGCCAATTATCATAAAGCGAAAGCAATCGACTGTATTCACGGTCAATATTTATATCATTTGTTTTTGCATAGCATTCATTTGCAAATGGTGTTATTTGCATTCGTAAACTGCTGAAAAACCAAAAAAATGTTTTGAACCTAATTTGAAGGAACGAATAAAGTTTACTTGAAAACCCACTTCAACTTTTTTTCGCCATTTCTCTAAGCGTTTTCTGGTTAGACTCGTTCCGTTTTCCGTTGACAAATAGGACAAATAGAAGCAGACAAATTTTTGGCAGAGAGTCGCATAGCGACAGAGGTGCAGATGGATGACCAGTTTTGGGATTTTTTGAAAGACAAGTTCTCCTCTCAGGAATAAAAACTCTCGGCTCTCAGAAGCGAGAGCAACAACTTTACTTAAAATCAACTTTCTGAGAATTTAATCTTTAAATATAGATGAATAGTGAAATTAATCTTACTTTGGATTATCATGTTCAATATTCAGTGATAAAACTTAATTGATTAAAAATTCATAATTAATAAATTTTTATCAATTAATGATGCTGATGTGCTGATGCTTCTATTATACATAAAATAAAAATCTACGAAACGATTTGAACGATGATAAGAAAAAAATCCCTTTACCAAAAAGATAAGTGATCAGTACGACATGCTTAAAAAATTTTGGTGATATGAAAATGCTTATCACTGCCATGAATAAGACTTGTTGTATAGAAAATTTTATAGCTTGATGGTAGCAAACCTACTCGTAACCAGTGGTAAATTTTCTTTTTTATACTCCCTTGCCAATATTGATTAGACTCACTCTACTAGCTTCTAAATGATAAATATGCCAGAGAGTCTCTTGGCGATAGAAATAAAAGGTGATTCGCCAATACATTACCGGAATTCCTAGATAGATTTACTCGTGCGAGGAATAGAACCTCAGCGTTCCGAATTGAGCAACAACTCCATTGAGTCATTCTATGCCCCAACCAATGGTAAATATAGCCAAGTAAACAGGAGTACTACTAAAAAGAAGGTAAGTTAAATTTAAATTTCTAGGAAACAAAGAAATATCCAAGAGGGCAAAAGCAAAAAAAACTAACGGTGGTTCATCGACGACAATAAAATTCGACTTGATTTTAACCGGTGTTAATTTATCTTCCACATTTATGCATTCATTGACTGGCTTCAATTCACCAGGTGCGTAGTGAATAATCGCTGTCGTAAATTTTGATTTATTTCTAGGTGAATTAATTTTTTCCATACGATTTTTCTCATCAAAAACTTCTAAATTTTTATTCATTGTTTTTTCGGATGAACGATAATTTGCGGATTGAAATATTTTTGCTTCTTTATTGTTATCATTTCGTTCAATTTTTGTTAACTCTGCAAAAATATACTTTTTTGCGATAAATGATAAATTGTTTCAATAAAAAAATTAAATTATCAGTTCATTAATTTTATAAGTACCATAAAAGTTTATAATTGTATTTTATAAAATTCGAACTAAATTTGAATAAAAATCCATTTTTTTTAAGGCCATTTTGCTTGCCTGTTTGCTAATTTTGACAGAAGTAAGTAGTTTTTTGCTTTGGTTGGTTCAATAATGAAATAATCAGATGAATGCTAGAGAGATGGGTGCTCCGTTTCTCTCATAACGGAGCGCAGATGCTGCCGAATTCCACTCCCTCTGTAGAAATAACCTTTTTCAAAAATCCAAGATACTGGCGACCAACGTACACCTTTATCGCCATGTGACTCTCTAGATAAAAATTTTCCCTGTTCCTAGAAACCAGTGGGGTAAGCCTAACTAAAAATGGTGCACTTTTTTATAAAAAAAATTAGAATAAATAAATATTTTTCTCATAATTCATCGACGATTCAGGTAGAAAATACGAAAATATAAAAAATAAAATAGCTATCGAATGGAAATTAAAAATACAAAGTGATTTTATTTCTGATAAAAAATTTTGGCTTTTATTTTTAGATTTTCAAGAAATTTTCAAGAAATTTCGAGAAATTTATGTTTTATAAGTTTTATGGTACTTATGTTAAAAATATGATATTAACAAATAAATGATAATTGTTACAATTCACTAAATATTTTTTTAATATTTCTTAAAAATATTTTTCAATATTAATTTAATAAATTAATTAAAAATACGAGGCAATTCAGCAATAGACGATCGCCGATTATCAAGACTAGCCAAGTCACAGATTTTGCTTGTAAATAAGACTTTGGACGATATATCTGAAATTTTAGGTTATCTACTATCCATCTTTACCAAGAACCAAACTTCTAAAGCAGTTTTATCAACTTTAAAAATTTTATGAAACAAAATTATTTAGCGAAGAGAACAATATAGAAAAAATTTTTTAAATATAATGATAAAATTGATAAAAAAAAAATTATTGATGATAAAATTACTTGAAATGAAAAAAAAAAAGGTAAAATAGTACAAAAAATTGTTGTTGGTCTGATGCGGTACCGATAAGAGGAAATTTGGCTATCAAAAATTCGAATAATGCTGGCGACACTTACACGTCTATCGTCAAGTGAGACTATTCCTTAACAAAATTTATCGGATCCGACGAGTCAGTGGCGCGAGTCTAATCAGCAATGATGAGCTTCCTTAGATTAAAAAAAAAATCTTTTTCTTTCTTATCCAAAATAGAGAGAATATTCAATAAATATAGAATTTCTGGAAAAATTTTAATCAACAAACAATGGATAATTAAATTGTTTGTCCTCGATTTAAAGAATTCTTAAAAAATGTGTTTTTGTACAATTTGAATTAATTAAAACAAATTTATGAATTCATTTTAAGTTGAGATTTGAGAATTTCTCGTTTTTATTTTAACGAATTCCTCAAATGAATAAAAAATTAACAAAAAATAAAAAGAAGTACTTTGCGCAAAAATAGAAATACGGCAATCCTAATCGTGGTGACCAAAAAAAAAAACAAATCCGGAGTTATTTGAAAGATCCAAATAAATATACTACCAATGCAATAAATCGCCTCTTAATCATTCCTAATTTTTCAATCCCCTCTTTATTTCGTCTTTAGGAGGAATTCAACGAATTGAATATGAAGTGAAATCAATTTTCTCAGGTGAAATTAAGAGGCGAATTAAGAGGATAACTAGCGAATAGTTGTGGTTCCTTTGAGCCACAAATATTTAGCAGATTATCGTTTAGTTTTTAAGGTGCAAAATGGTACATTAATGGAATGATGAAATGGAATTATTTATTGTGCCACGGTTAATGAATTAATGGAATTAAATGGACTAATCACTCAAAAAAATAGAAATTTAGATTATTTTTTATTTTAATTTTAGCAAATTTTCGTAAATAGGACTAGTTTAATTCAAATTTAACAACGAATGACATCCACAGTTTATTTTTTTAAAATAACTTTAATAGATTTCTGATAATAGATTATTAATAACCATCTTTAATATTAAATTATACATCTTAAAAATTGACTTCTTGAAGATTATGCTTATCTATTAGGCATATAAATGGAAGGGAAGAGGGTGAGGGGGGGGGGGGGGGGAAGAGGGCGAATAGAGAAGGATAACTGATAGTATATATTGTTATATTGCAACTATGAATTCAGGCTACTCATCCTTGGTGGTAATAAATCCACTAAGTCAATTCACGTGGTTTTGGGAGCTGTAATCCCATCCCATTCCTAAGTAAGTGATTTTCAAGGTTTTACCCTACTAATGATTGGGGTTAGCCAAATGTCAGAAATGGTGAGTGCTATTAAAAGAAGGAAAAAGACATTTAGATATTTAGCTAAATATTTTAGATTATAAAGACTTAATCGCCTTACCATCTAAATAACCAAAAGCTTATTTCACAGATGAAATATAATAAAGAATTAGTCATTAGGAAAATACTAATATTTATAACCATTCATAGAACTGAATTTCCGTGGAGATTGTTGTTTTCCGATAAAAATCTCCGAAAAGTTTATTTGATAATTTGAGGTCGATCCTGATCCTTTATTATAGGAACTTATTTTTTGTGCATTTTCTTCCTTAGATATTCCAATCTTATCAGTAAAATTATTGTGATTTATCATCCGATGATTATAATCTACGGATTTCTCTTGGTTATCGTTCGCTTTTAATTCAATAGTTGTAGTTTGAACGATTGTTTTCTTATTTGCATTATCTATTGCACCAATATCTAATGTAGTATTTTTATTCTCCGAAAATAACGGTGGATCCGGTGCACGTTTCTTTTTCGTTGAATTATAATTTAATTCCATTGAATGAATCAGTTTCGTGGAACCATTTAAGTTGCTGAAATAATAGTCTTTATTCATATGTAAATTTTATTACTAAATTATTTATAATAGTAGAATATTTAGAAAATTTTCGTCGGAAATCCATAGGAATGCATTTTATGGTAGTAGGAATAGCACAACCGAGTGGTGATAATATTATCATTGCTATTCGGCTCATATATTTCATCTTAATAAACCTATCACCGCTAAAAAGCCAAATATCTCGGTATTTCACAAGTGATCCTCTTGCTAAGAAGTTGAACTAGCCTAGTTAGAAACAGTAAATTACACTAGCCATTACTCAGACTTGTATTGTATAAATAAATTTATAGCCCTAACCATAGAAAATGATTCCAAATGAGAAAATCGTAAAAGAGCTTTTCTTATTTTCTTTCCGAGATATTTTTACGAAATAGCATAGATTAATAATTTTATTTAAAATTTATTTATTAATTTATAAAGTATTTGAAATTTAAAAGCTTATTTGTCATTTATTTCTATCGTTTTTATTTTTGTATAAAATATTCATAGAAAAATCACCGTCAAGCGAATAAAACGGAATAAAACCCGTCTATAAATTGAATAAAAATTTCCATATTGGATTCGACTAGTTATTTAATTATGAATTTAATTAAAAATACAAGTTTATTAATTTTATGTTTTCAATAGAAATTGAACAACAACAACAATCGACCAACTCAAATGAACCATTTTTAATAAAAAGCAAAAGGCAAATGGTTTTGTAGATTTATTAAAATTATTTCTATTATGTTTGATTAATAAAAATTAAAATTTGAAAAATTTAATTTCGAAAAATTTAAATCTTTTAATAATAAACTTAAAAACCTTTTATTAGGCAATTTTTCATGACAATTTTTTACTTCTTTATTATGAAAGGTCATTCGAAGATCATTCGTGTCATTATTTCTATAAGTTTTTCCAATTTTATTCACTGAAGAATTCTAAAAGTATGATAATCATTAATCAGCGATTTGTTATCGTAAATTTAATCAATAAATTTAGATTTATCAACGAATTTCTTTAATATAAATATTTAATAAATCGATTAAATATTAAATAAAAAACAAATTCAGATTTATAATTATTAAAAATATTTCTAAGAAAAAAAGGGCCTTAAAAGCCTATAAAGGCCTAAATATTGATTAAAAGCATAGAGAAAGACAAAAATTATACAATTATAATAAATAAATAAATACATAAAGTAAACTTTTCGTTACTTAAAGTTCCGTATTTGCATACATTCAATCTCCTTAAAACATATATTTTCCATTATTTATTATACATCTTTTAGCTAATTCTCTAATTCTCTATATAAAATTCAGCATATAATTTCGGTTAATTCATAATATCATTAAGCATATTTGTAAATTTTATTATGAAATTAGAATGGTCAAATTTCACGAATTTAGTAGATTTAGTAGATTGATGATAATCAATTATAAGTGATATGTAAGAATTTTGCTCGAATAAAGTTGTTGTTTATAAATTTATTTATAAATAGCAATAAAAATGATAAACTAATATGATAAATGATAAAATCTATCATAAATGCTAAATAAATATTCGATACATATGAACGAAAAACTTGGAAAAAAAATTATGAAAAAAGGTTCTTTTATAACCGCTAAAATCAAGTAAAGCAGCAATTCTAAAATCCAACTTTAAAGATACAAGTAACAATTCGAAGAATAAAATATCTTAGCTGCATATTCCAGTTCTAGTTATTTCTAGTTATTTTACTTGGCCACACTATTACTATTTTGTATCGAATTTGAGAATTTTAACAGGATTAAACTTGTCATCAAAACTAAAATTCGAATTCGAATAGTGCTGGCGATTCACTTGTATTTCTTTTTTTTGCCAAATAATTTTATGGTAAAAAATTTCTCAGCCTAATAGCTAACACAATTAACCAAGCAGACAGTTGTTTTAAGCGTTATTAGAAGAAGAAAAATTAACACTAAAAATTAAAAGATTTGATAATTAGAAGAAATATTTTGCTGAAAAAAAAAGAAAAATTTTCAAGAATCTACCTTTTTTAAAAAGGAAAAAAATGATCGTTTTTCTCCTCGATTTGGCATCTGAAAAAGAAAAAAATTAAATATAAAAATAAAATAAAATAAAAAACAACGATGCTATCTTCTTGAACGACACTTAGGCATAAAGTTAAGTAGCTTGTCGTCCGCTAATTTTTCAAACAAATTCATCATCTCCATAAAATCCGTTAAATCCGTTATTGTTAGTTGTTCTGAGGAGGAATTTTCGAAATTTTATAAGTAGATAATTGTTTGAAAAATTTCTCGGCAAAACAAAAAACAGCTGTGTCCTTTCGATTTCACGAGTTACCAGTGATTTTTTTTTTTAAATTCCTTTGTTCTGATACTCTTATTGTTTAGTGGCCCATATGTGGGACTCAACGATGAAAATTCCCTTAATTTAAAACGATCTTAAAAGGAGAATAATACACTAAACATTAATATCGCTTTTCTGGAAGAAAGCAACAGTTGCAAAAAATAGTACCAATTAATAAAAAATAAAATAGCCTAAAAAAGTAGCCTTCTTTATGATTGAATATAATTGCATCGAAATGTATACGCTTGCACTCTTCAACTGTATCAGTTGAACCCAAAATTACCTATTTAAAATTACCTATTTTGTTTAAAAATCCTCGAAATATCCCTTCTTTGGCTTTCTACAGTTTTGCGTCAATGTCCTCAACATTTCGAATTTTTCCCTCGAAAAGAAACAACAAAAGAATTATCATTATCCGTAGCTAGAAAATTAGTTATCTTAAAAATTTAAATAAACGATTTTCTTATGGACTCAGTTTCATTCATTCAAGGCTACTAAAGAAGACTTATGTTCAACATATGAAATATATGCAACAATAAAAATTTGTTCAATCTTTTGATTTTCTATTTCGATGCAATTAAATTCGTTCGTCGTTAATGGTCAGCCAATTCACCATAATAAAATAATAGATCACATGGAATAGTTGGTAATTTTATGCTCAATAAAATAAAATCATCCATAAATTTATCACAATATATTTCTCGCTTTTCTAATTATTTATTTAGATGAAGATGATCAAGCAGGATAGCAATAGCCAAATAGATTCTTATTGATAGTACTGATATACTGATATGATATTAATTGATTAATTAATTGATATAACAACAATATTTATAAAAAAATTTAAAAATTTAAAATTTTAAATTTAAAAATTTAAAACTATTATAGTAATCGAAACGTATTTCAATATCAAATAATCAGTATTATTACTACTTAGCTGACCAATAATAAGACTAGTTAATAAGAAACAGAATGACTTTGTACGTTCTCATATCTAAGCACCGATGAAATTTCATTTCCTGCAAGAACAAATATCTTTCAAAAATCCAGGTGATTCTAGCGACACACCTGTACTTCTATCGTCAAGCGACTTCTTGATAAGATTTATCTAGCAGCTGGCAACAGTGGAGTCTCAGAGTGGAGTTTATCTAGAAATTATGAGTACTGAAATTATGAGAAATTAGAAGAAAAAAAATGTTAGATAATGATAATATAAGAATTATACCACTTCAATATTGTTAACTAAATTCAAATAAAATTTATTGATTTGATAAGAATAATTTATTCGAAAAAGTGAATTAATCATATCATTACCATATCACATCGACATCATTAATATATTCGTTGAATGTTAAGAATTTTTCGTTTGGAAACTAACATTTAAGAAATCTTTTCGTATAAAATTATAAAATTTTTATAAAATTCTTACTAATATGAATTAGTTTATACAGTCGTTCCATTAAAATAATTTATTCATTAATTCTATAGGTCTTTTCTAAACTATACATTACAAACTATGCTAATTTTCATCAAATATGATAAGACTGTTCGTATTAATCCGATGAGTAAGCAAATTTTTCAAAGAAGACTTTACACATATATATATATATATATATATACACATATGTAGCGCCGATGCTGAGATTCGATTCCCCGCAAGAGTAAGCCTATACAAAAAATCTGGGTGATGCTGGCGGCTCACCTCTACTTCTATCGCCAAGAAATTCCGTGGCATATTTGTCCAGCGAGACAACCCAGCGGAGCGAGTTTGACCAGTAATGATGAATAGGATAAAAATGCTACACGAAATAAATAGGCTAATTTCCATAAAATATAACAAGGCATATGTATAAATCTCTTCCCTTTCATCCTCCTCATGAATGAATGGTGGTAAAAATCATCCTCAACATCGAGTCCTTTGCTAAAGTTCTGGAAGATTGAAAAGTATCTTGCGCAGTATCTTAGTTGTTCTGAATAGTGTGCTCTTTTCAGTAGAGATCTCTGATGTTGTTCCTGGAATCCACTTTTCACTTTTATTTTTCTAGTTTAAGCGTCACAATTCAAGTGCTCCAATTTACATTAGGATTACTTTGGCCTTCATATATAAGCTAAGACCTAATTTCCATCAAATTTGCCAAATCCATACTATTTTGCGTTTATGTTCTCAATTTTGTTCAGAACAAAATTCAAAAGTGCATTTCTTGCAGATCGCAACTAATTAAAGGATGAGTGAAAATAAATTTTGAATGAAAAGAAAATAAATTTTCATCTTTAATAAACAAATTTATAAATTTAAATTATTATAAAAAATAAATTTAGTCATTTCTAGTGAGACAGTAATCAAAATAAAATTCTATAATAACTATATAATAAAATTCTATAATTCTATAATTCTATTAATAATAATAAACAGTGATAACAATAATAGTAATGATAAAAATAATAACACCAATGATAATAATAATGGTGGTAATAATAATAACAACAATAATGATAATAATAATAATATATCAATAGAAATAATAGAAATTTAAATGAAAAATGTAAGGATTTCGCGAATATACAAAAAAATAATCAAAATAAACGAAAACGATTAGATGGTCAAAAAT